CTTGGATTAGTTACCGTGATTGCCGTGATGACGGCCTTAGTTGGTCTAACTTTGTGGTTGACGCACATGATTGTGCTACGAATATTGATAGTTGGGCATATTTGTGTGGTTTTCAATGTTCTTTACATGTCTTCTTTCGCAAACGTTTGGACGGCTTACAAGACGAAGAACGTGAAATTCCTGCCCTTTTGGGTATGTGTAGCAGAATTTGCAAACAGCGTAACTTGGACCGCTTATGCTCTACTCTCCTTTGATATCCACGTGATGATTATTAACGGAAGCGGAGAACTGCTAGGGTTATGGCAAGTGGTGCTGCATTGCTGCTACGGAGAGAGAACCCTTTCAGTTTGGCTCAAACAAAAAGGAACACCTTGCTTAAGATCGGTTATAGAATTTTGGGGTGTTCCTAAATTGTAATAATATTATGTTTAAGTATTTAAGAGAAATAATTGTTGCCTGTGACCATTGCCGCTTACTGTGTATTTTTTCCAATAAATCAAATATGTTTTTGTAACAAGAAGTTAGATTAGATATCATTTACGTTTGTCTCTTTCAGATTCAAAGGGATGAGGGCATGGTGTCATTTAAGAGCAAACAAACGACATTAAAAAGTCTTACATGCCCATCACTCAAACCTACGTCATAATTATATTGTTAGTCCCTCCATCCCAATTGTTCATTATTTTATCTTAGTAATTTTATAAATAAAAATATTCTATAGCTTATCTAATTAATAAAGTTTCTTTATGGTGTTGCACACTTCGTAGTCACATATGGTGTATCCTAATTTTATTGGATATATTTTAACTGGATGGTTTAATCAAAAACTTATGACTGAATCATAGAACTTCCCTATTTATCTATTTAAAAAACAAATATATTTTCCCAACAAAGCTGGCTGAGGGGCTCACCAGGGCAAAAAAATTATGTAAATTAAAATACATCTTCTCATTTCTTTGAATTTCAGATCGTGCTGGAGTGTTGAGATCCTCTTAATGAAAATGTGATACCGCATGATGTGCGGGATAGTGTCTTATATTTCAATAAATTACACATGAAAAATTCAAAAAATTTAAATGTGTTGAATTATCATTTGTAAAATAATAAATTTAAAATTTTGAGAAAACATAAATATGATAACATGATAAATGAAAGAAAAAATCTTTTTGGCAGCATGAATGCTGAGTTATACTAAAAAAATAAAAAAATCACGGTATTATGCAAATTTGTCAAAAACAAAAAAAAAAATCTAAAGTAAACCCCATGGTTTCTTAAGTATTACTATATTACACTGTTCATTTTATCAACAAAAGAAAAAAAAAATACTAGTTTCTAATATCAAACTTTTTTTTTGTTTTAAGGACTAATTAAAGTTTAAAATAAAAATGGCATTCAAAAGTTCTGAACACTTGAATGTAGAAACAATTCTCGAAGATCAGGGACGAGTAATATGCAAATGACTTCTTTGGCTACATAAAAATTCTGGTATAGCAATACTAAAAATATGTTTTTATTTTTTTATTTATTTTTTTTCCGAAGCAACTGTCAAGGTTTGTACTCGAAACAACACAGGTTAAGTTTTTTTTTTTTTTTTTTGGAAAATGAAAAGAGAGAGAATTCCTTTACACATTAAGACAATACTGGTCCACAACAAAGTAACAATATACCATTTCAAAAAAATAAACAAAGTAACAATATTTCTCTTTCATTAACACATCCTGCAAAAACAATATTAAAAGAAAAAACAAATCCTTCTTTGAATATCAATCGTATTTGGCCATTATGCCCATTATCAGACATTCAGACATGAACTTTATAAAAATTAGGGTATGAATGAAGTGTGAATGACCGGAGGTGAGTCTTATATAGGTAGTTTAGGGGATAAGTTTTGTTGAATTGATTGCTTAATTTATGATTTTTATTTTCCAATTTGAATGAATTTAGATTTTGTACGGATCATTAATTAGTTACTCCCTCCATTCCAAAATAAATGTCGTTTTGGCAAAATGGAGAAATTCCAAAATAAGTGTCGTTTTCAGATTCCAATGCATTTTTTGTCAAAAATTTTCCAAAATACCCTCAAAAGAAATAATATTATTGGTGAGCATTTATTTTAATGGGGTTGATTGAGGATATTCTAGTAATTTAATTACTTTATTTAATATTTTCTTAAATTATGTGCAAATTCTAGAATGACATTTATTTTGGAACGGAGGGAGTAATATATTTTGATTCAAAATTGAACAGATTAATGGAGATGTGAATGGATAAGAGGAAAAACCTTATTAATTTAGTGGAATGTTTTTTGTAGCCGCTACTTATACTTCTTGTCCTTTTTGACCGGTTTTTCGAAATTTTTTTGAACTTACCTCAAAGTCACTCATTCTCTTTCTTAAACTCGATTGTGTTTCAGAAAAATGACAAGGATAAAATCGTCCCGTGGTAGCTGAAAGAAGTATAAGTTAGGGGTTCAAAAAGTATCTCCCATTAATGAATATGGCATTTATATGTTCATCAATCCTTATCTATAAATCCATTGATTATGATTTGATTTTCCTGTTTTAAATTCGATTTTTTAAATTCAAACTGATTCTTTTTGTTTTGAAACATTAAATCAGTGCATTAATTTAATCAATATATTTCCTATCATAGTTGATTGAGATATTCCAACATGAAATTAATATGCAAGGAATATGGACAAAAATTTTAAAGTTTTTAAAACCAAATTTTGAGAGATTGCCAAGTATGATTTTGTCCTACACCGCGACATAGAAAATCATCTTTGATTTCTCTCTCCGATTTTTCTTTTAACATAGTAACTAGATGCTTGGCCCAGACAGATGCCCGGGCGCCCCTCTACTTTAATTTTGTGTTAATAGATAAATAAATTCTTGATTTGAAAAAAATAAAATAGCTACACATTTGGTTTTTTTTTTCCTTTTTTTAGTCAAAAATAAAAATAAAAATAAAAAATCCTCTGCCAAAGCAAAAAAATATTAAAAAGTACAACGGTGTAGAAATCATACAAAAGAATGTGGAGTAATAAAGGTGATAAGTTTATAGACAAATTTAAATGTTATTTTAATTTGATTGATAAATGATAAATGTTAGGAGTTAAAATTGTATAGTTATTTTTGTAAAGTAGCTTCATTTCTCGGGATAAGATTTTTTTTTTCTTTTAAAAAGGGGATGACACGTGGCAAAATGGTCAATGCAATATGGTGCATTTGGAGCCAAAAAATTTTAATAAGAAGTTGCCACATCAACATTCTGTATTTTGCTTTAATAGGGTAAAAGGGATATGAGTTGACAAGTTTAAATGCCGGCAGTTTCACATTTTTGGAATAAATTATTTTGTGGTGTTATAGTGGAAAAATTTTTAGTTGGACCCGGTCCATGGGTCCATGGTGAATCCGGATCCACAATGAGCTTACACAAATGGACCCCGGTTCAATTAAGAATTTATTGTCCAATACCATTAAAGTCCATCGTAAAATTGGACGAAGAAAAAAAAGAAGCTAAAGCATGTGCCTCAAATACTATTGCCTGAACATATTAGCAGGAAATATGCTTTACCCTCAGCCTGTAAGACAGAATGTGCACGGAAACTTGTGATTGAAATTAGCACATGATCATTTATCAGTAGCCAATGCGCCATTCCGAAAACACGAGCTTGCTTTGATTTTTGTGTGCTATTATACGCCCATTTTCCACAAAGTTCTACGCAATTTTTTTTTGTATATAATCATAATTTATCACGAACGAAACAAGTTGAGATCCAGGGATCAAGGGAAAAGAAGAAAAATTGCTGTGAAACAACGGTACAGGGGAAAAAAATAAATATAATGATAATAAAAAATACACGCTTCAGGTTTGGAACTCTTGAAAATGCAAAAGATCCTTTGGCCAGCATCTGTCGTAGATCTATAATCAAATTACGAGAGATACTTATGGCTGCACAAAAGTCAAATGAAGCAGATTAATTGAAGAACTTATACAACGTATCACTATAAACAAAAATATACAATATCAATCCACATCTAACGAACAGAGAAGTTGGATTGAGTTTTAAACATCAATAGTACAGGTTCTTTTGAACTGTTTAAATATCATGTTTTAGAAGCAAGGAGGTAGGCAACCCTTAAAAAACACCCACGTAAAAAAAACAGTTTGAGAATCAGTCTTATTTGATATTTCCTCCGCTCAGAAAAATAGTCCATATTGAGTTTTGAGATTGTACTGAATAATATAAATTCCAAAACTTAATACAATAAAAAATTCACGTGGACTATATTTTCGAGGACAGAGAGAGTATTTTACACAAAACTATAACGTCAGAAGTCTACTTGAGTTACATTTTATGTTGCATAATATTGCCAGTTTCTCCTTCTTCATTTTCCTCTATATTTACTACTTGGTATCATGTATTCCTTTTTTAGTGTTAAAAGTCAGAAGGCTGCGTTGGCATGCGTTGCCAATAAATGTGTCAAAATAAATTGGATTTTTATCTCAAAACCAATGCATGAAGTGACTTACAAAACTATAAATTGGTTTCAGACCTTTCACACAAAACTCAATAGTCAAAAGTCTAACAAAGCACATGTCACCGTATATTGCTGATTTTCTTCTTCTTCCGCAAGTTCGGATATGGCATATAATATACTTGATGAAAAAGTTGACACTTGACACCAATGCACCCTTGAGGTTTTTCACTCGTAGGAACCCAAAAGATTCTTTGGCTGGCTGTACATAGATCTATACTCAAATTACGAGCAATAATTAATTAATGGTGTTCACCGAAGTCAAATCTACAATTTCAATCCAAGTCCAATGAACAAGTTGATTAAGTTTAAGAATATATCAACAACTCTTTCTTGTCTTCTTCTGTTTAATCCGAGAAGTCAGAAATGGGCATCCTGCTGTGATTCACATGCTTTGCTTCCGATCTTGTGGTCTTTTTAATTTGTGCGCCATTTTGGCATTTTCTTTCATCATCATTCCCCTGCCTCCCAATCTCATCCTTGCCCTGTCTCTCTTCAGTCTTCCTCCTTATTGCCATTCGGATACAATTCGTATTCCCCTCACAGCTCAGAGATTTTTCACCATTTTAACAACAAACCAAAACCATGGATTCCACTACCAATATTGCTTCTTCTATTAGTTCTACCTTACATGATCTGGACTTTGTGCTGCAAAAATTGTCTCATTCTGATCTCACAATCTTCCATCAACGTCTCATATGTTACTTACATAGTCTGAAAATATTCCTTCTTATTTCCGCAAGAAATTTGGATAACCAGGGAGATGACGCAGATCTGCCATCTTACTTTCTAAGGGTTGAAGATACTGTTCACAAACTTGGAGAGCAGTTTCATCCTGATGGTGAACTTACCCAGTTAGATAGTTCTGTGGCTCGTGAGTTCGCAAACTATTTTCGATACTTGCATGAGGAATTGCATGATGATGTGTACACTGATAGGCAGCCGTCAATGCTGTTAAAGTTAAGTGGTTCTGTCTTAACCATTGATGACATCTCCGCAATCATCAGTTCCATTTTGGAGCTAATTGAGCATCTTAATATTCACTCTTACTGCGGAGGAATGGGAGCTTTGTTGGAGCAGGTGAAGGTATTGCAAACTCTCATCTGCTTTGTTGACTTCCATCCCACACCCCAACTGTTGGATTACGCTAAAAATGTTGTTATCCGGGTACATATTCATTTCATGCGTCCTAGAGCACTTCACCAACTTGATCGAGAAAGGTTTGATTACATGCTGTTTAAAGGGGTGGAAACCATCAAGCCAAATACTAATCCACAGGTAGCTGAGATTTTCACTCAGTCCCTCATCAGTTCCAAGTTGTCAAGACAGGAGGTTTCACTTGCTCCCACTCATCATCAACAAATTGATGATGATGCCACCTTCATCGCAACCAAGAATTTCTTTGATTCTCTCCTTTCTTATCTTTGGGAACTGCTACGGATTAACCCTGTTGGCACACTTTCTGTCAGGGATCAGATGCAGGAGCTGTATCGCAAATTAAGATCCTTGCGAACCATTCTCAAAACAAAGCTGCAGCCGCCAAACAACATTAAGGCAGACATTGTATCTTTGTTGTATGATGCCGGTGTCTTAATTTTCTCATTGTTCCAATCACATACACAAGTAGATCCTGGATGTTGTTTCCATGATTGTTTGGAAACAACCAAGACTATTCTGCTACAACTCGGAGAGGAGGATCCACCTGTAGCAGAATTCACCATTCCCAAGGCCAATCAGTTGGGTTTTGTCGATTTTGTGCTGCAAAAACTGGTGGACCTGAGAAGTCGTGAAGCTGAGCCAAATGCCAACAGTATGCATGTTCAAACTATCCATGAAGAACTTGTTTCCTTAAGATGTTTTCTAGGAGACATTGTGGAGTTTTACCAAGAAGACGAGGAGCTTCAAGCTGTATGGAATCGCGTTTTAGAGGTGGCCTACAAGGTGGAGTGTCTCATGGACCACTTACTGGTTGCTGATCTTCCCATTTCTTCTCCAACTTCAGTTGATGCAATCATGGAAGACATCAGGGACATTAAGCCCAAAATCGAAGTTAAGAGACCAAAATTTGAAGGCAAAAGACAAGAAAGCAGGCTGAAAGTAGCAGCCATGACTCCCAATCACCTACCTTCGTTGGAAACAAACAATGAGGTTGTAGGTTTTGTTGATGATGCAAAACTAATCATGGATAGGCTCAAAAGAGGATCAAAGCAACTCAAAGTCATTGCCATTGTGGGTATGCCGGGACTGGGTAAGACCACTTTATCCACAAAAGTTTACAATGATAACTCTATTTTGCTTCATTTTCAAGTCCAGGCATGGTCTCCAATCTCACAAACATTGGACAGAAAGAATGTGTTGTCTACACTTTTGAAACAGGTTGATCCCGACAGCAAATGTTCTGAGCTGAACGACCAAGATTTAGTTGAAACGCTGTGGCGCAGGTTGAAACGGAAAAGATATCTCATATTATTGGATGATATGTGGGATATTGAAGCATGGAATAGCTTGGCACCAGCATTCCCTGATGACAACTATGGAAGTAGAATTCTTTTGACGAGCCGTCATCATCGCATTGCTCCTAGTCATATGCTTGACCAAGAACCATATTTTCTTCAGCCACTCAATGAAAAGGAGAGTCGGGAGTTATTCCAGAGGAAGTTATTCCCAAGAAATGATGGTTCCTTGGATCCTGCAGTGCAACATTTGGTGATGCAATTTGTAGCATACAGTAAGGGCTTGCCACTCACCATCATCCTCATAGCTGGAATTTTGGGAACTACTGAGCAAGAAGATTGGGTGAAAATTTGGAAAGATTTAAGTTCCGCATCAGTCGCAGAGCACTGTATGGACTCACTGGAACTCAGCTACAAACGGTTGCCGGATCACTTAAAGTCATGCATGCTCTATTTTGGAGCATTTCCAGAAGACGCAGAGATTCCGACGGACAGGCTGCTGTACCTATGGATGGCTGAAGGATTCGTCAGGGAAACTGAGGGAAAGCGCACAAAAGATGTTGCCGAAGAATATTTGAATGGGTTGATTGCAAGAAGCTTGATTATGGTTACCCAAAAAAGATGGAACGGTAGAGTGAAAACATGCCGCATTCATGACTTGATTCTTGATTATTGCTTGCAGAAAGCCAATGATGATCATTTTCTCCATCTGGTAAAGGGATATGATGAGCTTTCCGCATTTAACGAGCCGCACAACCTTCGAAGGTTATGCATCCACTCTGAAGTTAACCATTTCAAAAGTTCCAAGTTGTTTTGTCCTCGTGCCCGTTCTCTGCTTTTTAAGGACCCTTACAGTTCATGTCAGTCAATACGAGATGCATCATTTGTGACTAGCATCTTTAAACTTCTAAGAGTGATGGATTTGGAGGGAATTGATATGAAGTGTGAGTTTCCAAGTGAAATAACTTTGCTTGTTCAGTTGGCATTCCTAGCAATTCAGGGTGACTTCGACTGCATCCCGTCATCCATAGGTAAGCTCTTAAATTTGGAAGCTCTTATTGTTGTGTGTCATTTTCCAAAGTCAATTTCATTGCCACACAGTCTCTGGAATCTACAGAAATTAAAGTATCTTTGGATAGGTGGCAATCGTGGCATTATGCCGATAGAAAATATTGAGAACTCGCAGATTTTATATGAGTTAGATGTGTTGTATGGTGTAATTGTTCCATACAAGTGCAGCATGGAAGGGTTAATGACAAAATTTCCAAACATCCGCGAGTTAAAATGTTGTTTTAGCTGTGATGAATATGTGGACTCTGAGTATCTTCACAGCACGATTGTAGTTCCTGATTTTTTGACACAACTTGAGTCAGCTAGTCTATCATTTCATTGTGGATATAATATTCCAAAAAAGATGGAGTTCAGTTTCCCTGAAAATCTGAAAGAATTGGAGTTGGGAAGCTTTGATTTGTCTAGGGAGAATCTGTCAACCATTGGTGAACTCCCAAACCTTCATGTCTTCATATTAAAAGATACAAAATTGGAAGGGGAAACATGGGAAATGCAAGAAGGGGAATTCTCCCAACTCATAATTTTGAGATTGAATGGTTTGAAGCTTGTTAGTTGGACAGCCGACGATGATCAATTCGAATGTCTTCAGAAGCTGGAGTTGATTGATTGCAAGGAATTGGAAGAGATGCCTTGTAATTGTCTGGAGACCATTCAGACACTTGAAACAATTGAGGTATTTCATTGTTCTGAGCTTACCAAAAAAATGGTAAAACAAATTGAGGAACAGCAGGAGCAGTGGGGAAATTCAAATCTTAAGGTTTTGTTCACATAAAAACATAGTGCATGTATGTTTGAATCATTGAGTGCATTTCTTTCTTTCATTAGCATTTATACCATTCCCGTGCGCTGCACATACAGTATTTGTAAATTTTTTGTATTTAAATCCAAATAATATTTAGTTCTTAATGAGGGTTTCATATGATATGGTTATTTCTAAAATATGAATAAATTGGAGCCGTTATGTTATTGTTTTCGCTTTTTAAATCATAAAGAAGTGTTATTTAGATGTACTTGTTCTCTTCAACATAATCATTTTTGCCGTGATAAAAATAAAAAAAACTTTGTTAGTGAATGATGATCATTTGGATAGAAATTCAGTTTATTAACAATGTGGCCTCCCCTCTTGTCATGAACTATAGGTAGCAAAATATGTAGACGCAACATGTTGTGCCATTTGAATCTTTAGTATCATCTTTAATTCAATGATTAAAAATAATTCCTCAACTTCTTTAACTACAAGGAAATCATCAAAGCAAAAATTAGGGGGTAAAAAGCCGAAAAGGCAAAATCTCTAGCAAATATGATACACCTATCAAAATGAGTGTAGAATACCATGGGGTTCGTTGTCAAGTACTACTTACAACCAAAATTGAGCAAATAAATAATTCGTCAGAAATTATGGCTGAGAATTTTATTCTCCTGATTCAATATTGCCGACAATTTCTATCAAATATACGTCTCAACAACATGTTACGAACATTGTTTCTATTTTTGGTACTCAGTCATCAACTCATTGTTGGTAGCTGTATTTAGTGCATTCAACCATGACAGTTCCAATCTGAATTAGTTTTTTGGGACGGAAAGAGTAATAATTTTTTACAGAGTCAAAAGAAAGTGAAAGGAGGAATAAAGTGAAAATTTTAAGCTTCCTTTCTTAACTCAGAGAGGACCAAACGAATTGAGCACCTTTCCACTTCATTTTTCTGCCCAATAACCAATCATATCCAGAGCAAACAAAATAACAGTCAGTAGCCGAGCTGGATTTTTTGTGACAGCGAGCATGGCATTTTCTTGAGTTAGATTTCGAGTTAGAGAACTTCTTGCGCTAACATGTGGCGATAGTAATAAGAAGTACTCCCTCCGTCCCATAAAAATTGTCCACATTGATTTTTCAAATTTGAATTAAAAATAGTACAAAACTTAAAAGTCAATGTGAATTACTTTTTTAGGACGGAGGTAGTATTTAGTAAAGGGGGCAAAAAACAAGAAAAAGATGAAAAAACCTAGTTGCAGGAAACCAATCGAATCATAATGCAAAATTTCTTGAAATGTGAAAAGCGAAGCTCGATAGTTGAGAGCATCTGTATCGTACGTTTTCAATTCGCTCTTTCTTCATTTTCTCTTAAGATTCTTATGGAAGGCTTACTAGTCTAAAGATATGGAATTCGAACCGTTTTGGATATGTCGACGAACCACGTCATTTGACGTAAACATCTTAGTTCATGTTTCCTTTATACTTATTATAAGTCATTTTTTATTTTATTTTTTCTGAATTTCATTTATCGTATTTTTACAATTACAAATAAAATTTTAAACATACTTTATATAATTGAGAGAAAACAATAAATATTTAAAGTTTAATTTTTAGTTTGAAGAATATGATAAATGAAATGTATGAGAAATTAATGTACTTTGTAATTAGTACGGGAGGGGATCAGAGCCCTCGAGCTCATACCATTATCCGGCCCCAATGATACCACATTGTTGCCATGGAAGATGTTGCGACAACACCTTGACTAAGGACTAAGGGCTGAGGCTCTATATAGAGTAGAAAGACCCCCTGAATTAGTTGATCATAACCGAAAATAATCTTTTACTCCGTACAAAACAAAGCTCCTAGGGTGGTTCATTCATTTGATCGTGAATGAGAATCATTCTGACTGTGCATTATTTTCTGTCCAAAAAAATAATTTTTAGATTTGTACTGAAAAAAAAAAAAAAAAAAATTCAATGTGTACTATTTTTTGGACAAAAATAATATTTTTGACTCCATTAATCTTGCCAAATTCTTTCATTTCCATGTAAAGATCATTTTTACATTTCTTTCATGAGTACGATCGCCCTACTACACACCAAAATATATATAGTTGTGCGCCCCTATGTGATTTGGCAATATTACATATCAATTCCATTTTGAGTACTGTTTTGTATCCCAATTTCCATCAAATAGTTTTATTTTTCCTCATGTTGATAAGGGCAAAAAAAAAGGTTAATGTGACACTTTACATATTATGCGGCGATAAGATACTAAAAGATGTACTACCAAAATTTCCAAATAAAAGAATGAATACTTTTGTGTTTAGCTCTATAAAGCAAACCTGAACCCCCCACCCAAAAAAAAACCAAAAAAAACTCATAAATAATCATTATTATTAATTATCCCTTTTTTAAAAAAATGACAAAAATATCTTCATCTTGTTAAGTTGATTATTTCTTTTTCTTTTTTTTTTTGGCTTTAAACTGATCATTTCTTTAACATCCCTTTTACCCTATTAAAGCAGAATACATGATGTTGATGTGGCAATTTCTTATTAAAAAATTTTGGCTCCAAATGCACCATATTCCTTTAACCATTTTGCCACGTGTCATCCTTTTTTAAAAGAAAAAAAAACTTCTTATCCGGAAAAACAAAAGCTAATTTACAAAAATAACTACACAATTTTAACTCCTAACACTTATCATTTATCAATCAAATTAAGATACCATTTAAATTTGTCCATAAACTTATCTCTTTTATTACTCCACATTCTTTTATATGATTTCTGCATCGGTGTACTTTTCAATATTTTTTCTCCTTTTGCAGATGATTTTTTTATTTTTATTTTTATTTTTAGCTAAAAAAGAGAAAAAATATGTGTAGTTATTTTATCTTTTCCAAATCAAAAATTCATTTATTTATTAACACAAAATTAAAGTAGAGGGGGCGCCCGGGCATCTGCCTGGGCCAAGCATCTAGTATATTTTAAATCATGTTATCTTTTCGGCGCCTAAGAACATAGATGTAATTTTTTTTTTTTGTTTTCCATTAATTTAATTGGCATGAAACTTTAGTAAAATTGAGTACAAGAATTTGCGTCGAACAAAGAAATAAAAATGTATCACAGTAATAAGCTACCATGAGATTTTAAAACTAATGGGCTGTGCCCTGTCTGACAATTGGCCCATTTCTCTCCTATCTCTTCTTCTTCAGTTCATTTTTTGTAGTCCGCCATTTGGCCCACTTTTTAATTTCCTTCCAAAATTACACTAATTTTTAAAATCAATAATTAAACACACTAATTAATTTTTTTGGGATGGTCTTCTATACCCTGATGAGAGAGTATTAGCCCCGAAGTAGCACGTACTACTGTTACTACATGGTAAAATTAAAACATGTAAAACAGAAAAACCATCTCACACGGCATTGACATGACAAATGTGACATAATTAATGTAAGATGTTGTTAAACTCCATATTCTTTGTTCTTTCTTCTACATAAAGGTTAGATCTCGTGTTTCTCGTTCAAGTTCTTTGTCACCTTAATTAAACAAGAGTTTGTTGTACCTTTAAACATTGTTATATTAACAATTTCTCGCTTGAAAAACCAGGTTATTTACTTTTCTCACCCTTCTTAAATTGTCGTATCTAATTAAGAATGCAGATCATATTCAACCAAGTCATAACATTGTGGAGTTGGAAATACATGTCTTATACAGAGCGTTCAAGTTGTAATATCATGATTAGTATAAAATTAATCTTTCTACACTTTACCAATTGATTTAAAGTTAAAAAAATAAAAAATCAAATCGTTTTACACTTGTACCACAATTTTTTCATTAAACAAACTAGTGTAGAAATATTTCAGGAAAAAAAAAAGGGTCTAACTTTCAAGAGAGCACCATTAACAAACATGGATTTGGTACATGTGAGATTTTAAATCAAAGAACCACACTATTTCTTCCACTTGGCAATAAGGAAAAAGACCATATAAATATTAAACGCCATGTTAATGTGTATAGGTTTGCCAGCAACATAGTAGTTAATTAATAATGATGGAGCCGACTGGCCAAAATGTTGTTGTTTTGTATGATGATTTAAATACTTCTCTGGACGATGATGATTTGGTAAACAAAATGTGCGTAAGGAAAAAATGTGCACGAGGGAATGTGCATGGACACCTTTGTAAACACAGGGTATTGTTTTTTGTCTGGATTAGTTGAGTCATTCTCCGAGTCCCCCATCTTTTCTCTCCCATGAAGAATGATATCGAAGATTAGGAAACAGCACAAAAAGGATTGGTAATCACATGGATTTGTCCCGGCCTATTTACATGTCCCGGACCAAAATGTGTCCCATGAGAGTTACACGGTATGTATATAATACAAACAGAATACAATCACGACATATGATTTATATATATTGTCGATTTTGTATAATACGATAAATAATTTTTATCGCGTACAAAATTTGTTTAGAAGTTTGGTACTTCTCTTAGCTTGAGCAAGATTTTCAACTCAACTAATTATTTGGAAAAAAACCAATTTTGCGAGTTATTGTCTTATCATGAGCAAGATCATTAATTCACGTCGAGTGAAAATTAGTTTGGAAATTGACCATCAATTCTTTTTAACTGCAAAATTTTACAGTAGTGAAGTTCATGAATATTTTAACCTTGATCAAAAGTGAAGAGGTGATGGGGAAGGAAGCATGGACTTGTTGTATGGGGGGAACCTTGTTATCAGAAATGTGCAATATTGCCTTTTCCACTCTGTTGACAGTCTGTACAGAAACTATTGCAGTTTCATTTTTTTGATCATTTTCTGGTTTCAATTTTGGTCCAACCATTCAGCTTGTGTTGTTGTGTATATATCTTTCGAGTTATCAAAAAAAAGGGTCACCAAATTGGCCACATTTCCATGTTACATTTTTGCATGCGTATGAGCTAGCAGTAGGAATGCATGGTTTCATTTTCATATCTTTATCAATATTTTTTCTTCGATATAATGAAGGAGGCGGAAAGGCCTAAGTTACTAAATTACCACACACATGAGTGTGAGCAAAATAATAAAAATAACAATACTGATCTATCTTTATCAAATCTTTAATCATAGTGTTTGGCGCAAGATTCACAAAAATACAACTTATAACACTAAACCGCGGTGGCTCGCCCCAAACACGCAGCCACTTACGACAATAATGGATAAATTATAAGTTTATTAACAATGCATGATAGTATCAAAGAATCTTTGTTAGATAAGGAAAAGAGAAGTACAACAATATTTTAGATTTCATAAAAGAAGAATGTCATTTCCTAGTACCTGCATTAAAGTTGATGAACTTGCTTACAAATGCTTCATGTGCTGTCTTCAAGCAAATTCAAATCAGTTTTACAACAATGAAATAATATGCTACTTCATTAAGAATTCTAAAAAGAACCAACTAATTATCCTCCGAACCAACATGGCCAAAACTAACCCAAAAAATAAACAAGTTTACTTCCGTTTTTCCAAGTCCAAACATCATCTTTCAAGCTAGGATATATCTCTCTAAACAAAAAAAAGGGCTGCAAAATAACTACAATCTGCCTAAATTCTTATGGCCAAAATGATGAATAAGAACCCTTATGATTTAGTCTGTTTTCCCCATCCCAGATTTTTCCTCACCTTATTTCCTTGTACAAAATGCTTGGAACCTGCTCCTTTTGCGGCTGCAGCATTAACCTCAGCTTCAGGATAATTATTATCCTTCTTCTCCTGCCTGTTCTTCTTTGCTGCTGCCTTCTTGTCTTTGTACTTTGAAGAAGAATGATGATGATGATCCCTTATACTGCCAACCTTATTACCCTCCTGATGGACAGAATCCCTCTTGATTTCCCACGTTTTTTCGCGAAGACTTGGACCGGAAGAAGCATCAGAAGCCATGGAATCATCACTGTTTTCATCATGATTATTATATTTAGTTCCTGGAACCAGCATCCAGTTGTTTTCTCCATGGAAATTCTCAGCTTCTGCAATATCAGCAACATAGCCATTTGGATCACTGAAATTATCATCATCTTCCTCACCACCACCTTCCACCGGAGACCCAATGTACATTGTCCACCCTGATTCACTGCTCTGACATTCTTCCTCCATTTTTTTTCTTTTTTTTTTTCCTATAGAAACAAAAGGCTAAAAATTACATGAAAATGGCCAAGAAACAGTTGAAACTAAGAAAGTTTTCAACTTTCTAATCTTAAAGTGAAATAAAAATAAAGGGCTTTCAAGTTTATAGCGCTGCTGAATGATGATGAACTAAATACACCTGTTAAAAACTCAAAACCACATGTTCTTTCTTCTTTTTTCCCCTTAGTCTCTCTCTCTCTTTCTTTCTCTCTGTTTTTCTCTGACCAAATGTACAGCTCTATCAATGAAGAAGAACAGACATGCCCATCATATATACTTTTGAAAGCAACACAACCGACTAAAAATTTATTTTTATTCCCTTTTATTAGCTGGACTGAATTTTTTTTTTTTTTTTTGCACACTATACCTGGATATCTAACATTAGCCCATAATTAACTTGGTTCTGTTTCTTCTTCTCTGCTGCTCTGACTTTTACCAATTACATCATCCAGTAATAGTACTAGTACAGCTATAGAAACTGCCAAAAGAAAACGAGAAATCTGTCATACATACAAAGAGCATAAAAATGAATCCAACCACCAACTCGTATTGGCACAAGTGGTGAGCAGCTTGATACCACTTAAGTAAGGTCTCGGATTCGAAATCTTGTGAATGCAAAAAACTCTTGTTGGAAGACTCACCCACTACAACCAGGTGTGTGACCCGGGTCGACCAACCGATTAGTCGGGGCTAAGCTCGAGAAACCGTGACAGGCAAAAAAAAAAATTTAAAATGAACCCAACCCCCCACCACCCTTTGAATTTTGAAAGGACTGGAGAAAGAAAAGAAAGAAATGGATAACTCTGTTTTACTGCTCATGCCATTTAATAAAAAGCTCTTCTTGTCTTTAATGCATTATTCAGATGGCTCGTGCAAAAAGAAAAAAAAAAAAAAAGGAACTACTGAGAATTTATGAAGATGAAGTTATGACACCTTTGTTCTTCAAGAGTTGGTTGGAGAATGACTCATTTACTACTTTACTACTGCGCATCATTTCTCTGTGCGTTATGTCAAATTTTAATCAAAACAAAACGCCATAAACTTAAATTTTGGTATGCAAGCTTTTTTTTCTACTTTGATAAGAAAATATGCAGACTTTTTTTTTTCCCACAATTCCATATCAGGGATGTTTAATTGATCATATCCAAATATTAACTCTTTTTTTGTCATTAACAAGATAAAGATGCATCAGTTGATCATGTGTTAATCTGTTTATATCATGACTCTTTATTATAAGTCTCTCCAATATTCTGCTGTCATTTTCCCTAGTATCATGCTGTGTTTGGTCATAGACTAGGCACTATCGACCTCTTTAATGCTCTTTGGGTTAAGTTTGTACTACATGCATGCATCGATCTTTTGCTTTGGCTTCTTCACACAAAACCTGGAAGCATTAACACTACTACATTGATTGTTCCACATGGCTCAAAGTTGCATTTTTTTTTCCTATAGAAAGAGTAATGATCAGAAAACTATGAAATTATTCAATGAAATTGTTTCAGTAGCTGAATAAGCTGATGTAGGACATCTATTTGAAATGATACAAACAACCATTTGAAATAGACATTTTTTCATACTTAATCAGAGGTCTTAAAATCATTTGGCTAATCTTAAGAGATAACGAATACCCGACTGTATGTTAAAAAAAATAAACGTAGAATCATTGTACATTCTTCATCCGTTATTGTATTAAATTAACCCGTTGAATGAATTCATTATCTCTATATCATTATTATTCTCGAATAATGTAAATGAAATCTAGCTAGCTATAGAGACCTAAGCATAGATCCGCTCATTTGACATTGCGTAAAGTTGTGAATTTTTAAAGTTTAAACCTCTGACTTTGACATTGAGTTGATTAATTGCTAAAAACATTGGTCATTTTTTAATGGTTTCCTTTGTCTCTTTTTCCTGTTTAAAATTTTGGAGGGATTTGGTCATCTTGAGACTTCTTATAATGGGTCCATTACATTTATAAGCTTCAAGTGAAGGAGCAAAATAGACTTAAGAAAGAAGCAGCAAATGGGATGGGGCATACACTGTTTGGGAGCTCCTTTTTAGTTGTTATGGCTTATTCTATAGTTCAAAGTTGAAAATGGTGGACAAGTAAGGCCAGTGTATTATTCTTTTTGCATGTCCTTTTGGTGAATCGTATCTTGACTTGCATTTGTCTTGGGCTCCATGTGGAGTTACCAAATGTTCCTTTTCCTAATTCTTTTTTGTTAATTTATTGATTGAAAAAAAAGAGAGGACAAAAGTCAAAAAAGGCTGGAATGATCTAATGATAATATATATGAAGGAATGAAGAGCTTTCGAAGAGGCCATCGATAAAAAAAAAAATGCATGTGGTGCATAGTGCATAAAGGGGGGAGTTTTGAAGAACAATATGATCAAATCAAAAATTGAAGTCCTGTATACATTGATTAGATGTATTCATGCAGTTGCTGACTTGTTGCTTTCAGTTCCCAATTTGTTCAAATAGCTTCAAAATGCAACAAATTATTTTAAGCTATTTTCATATACATACTTCATCTTGCTTGGTGTCATGCATGTATGTTGACATTAGCCTTAAAATCTTGATATCGCCCTAAAAATTCAGGAATAAAAGAATTGGTTTGGAACTTATGAAATGAGAGTCGTTTGTAACACATAAAGGAATTAACCTTAATTCACATGGTTTGAGCATTCAGAAATTTGATTACCATTAGTTGCAAATCAATAGTCTCACCCTTTTTTCGTAACAAAAAATTAACAATTTAAAAGGTATATATATATATATATATATTTATCATTTTGTACCAGTATTTGTCTCTACTGGTTAATGATCTTGAAACTTTTGTACTCAAATGTCATTGGGAAGTAGTAAAAGTTTAGCAACAGTAGAATGTTCATTGGTGAACACTTTTTCTTGTCTTTTGTTGGTAGCCTTGGGCTGTGCACTCATCTGTGCTATGAATGAAACAGTTATTACCAGTCAGATGCAGGTGGAGAAGAGTTGGATTCTCGAAGCCAACTCCCTAATAGTAGTATGCCATTATGTTTTGCACAAGGGACAACAAATTAAAAGGGTGTATCCTAATTACTCTCTCTTTTCTTGGTTTAGGGGAAGGGGGAAAGAAAAAATTAGGATTGCTGATATAGTAGATAAGATTCGAAACCGTGATTTTTCACGCTCTAATTTGTCGGTTAAAGAAAATCGAATATAAACATAGTTATTTGTCCCCGAAGATCCATCCTTTGTCATTTTAATTCTGTTTCAATTTCAAAAGTTTAAAATTTCATTTTTAGTACAAGTTGAACTAATAATGAACGTCCGGTTTGGACAATCATTTTCAAAACAGAGAGAGCATGTTGCACATGTTTCAAATGATTCAAAAATTCAAAAACTATGTACGAGTGAATAAAATGATAGTACTATTTTTTTGTCCCAAAATTAATATTGTTTAAGTCATAGATATTAGAACAACTTTGTACTGTACAATTAGAGTCAGAATTGCTCAAGAACTATAAATTCTTGAGTCAGAAATGAATCACCAAGGAAAAAAGAAAAAGTCAGAATCAAATGTAAATATACGAACAGTTTAATTATTATTTACAACAAATCCGATATTTTTGATCTTCAAGCTGTTTCAGGAGTTTTTTCCTCATCGTCATTCACATGATCATCATCAAGAGAGATTGAACGTGGGGAAGGAGTCGGCATGGCGATGAAGCTGGGCGTTTGTTCTCCGGCCATGATCACCACAATCTGCTCCGGGCAAGCTCCGTCGTCGACGTTAATTGTCAGATGATCCGGCAGCTTAATTTCATCTCTTTGGCCACGGCTTTCATCCGCCCCGGTATTCATCAACCGTATCCTCCTTGAACAGCATACAATTAAGAACGAAACCGCCGTGAAATTGAAGAATACAAGAGCTCCAAACACGAAATAAGAAGCTGTAAAACTCCAAACTCCCATGATTATTTTAGTAGTGATCAAATTAATCACTCTTTCGTGTTTACAATTTTGCTTGTAGCTTCCTTTGTTTATATATAACATGAATCATCATACAGTATTTCGTTTTATATATGCTTTTTCCGTCTCACTTTAATATCATGATTCAGGATGGAAGGAGATAGATAGAGGTGGGATTCTAACGAAAATCTCAATATGGAGTCAAAATGTGTTAACAAGTAGTACTAGTACATTCCAAAAGTTGTCAATTTTAGATGCAAGAGTTGAATTAATAATCTTGAAAGTGGCATTTTAACTGTTTTGTTATTCCCCTACTGTTTTAAGGAATAAATGTGGTTGATTGGTCGTATCTTTTGACTTCACCGATGACGTTCATGTTTCGTGTTCGAAGGTTTGTTCTTTTGTTAGTTACAAGTAAATTAATATTGGAATTGTGAGCTTAATAACTCGTATTATTGTGGTCAAAGCCTCAACCTTTCTATAGAACTACTATGAGATTTGTTTCAAAGAAATAAAACAATAATAATAATAATAATAATAATAATAATAATAATAATAAAACATACTGTGATCTCAATTATGATACTACCTAGCATATACATATACTTTTTTAGTTATTTCCGCCTCAAAAAAATAGTCTGATGTATAAATTTCTCGCGGATAATATGTTTACTAATGGAAAAGGGTTATTCGTGGAAAATGATATTAGTTTGTGTGGCTAGGCTCTTTGTGATCAAATCTCATATGGGTGAGCTAAAAAAAGTCCTTGAGGTAAAAAAGAATTTGGTGTGTCTGTATTTTTTTTTTTTTTTTCATACTCTATTACTTTATCTTTTTTCTTTCTTTCAAAGCAAGTATATAGATGGACCGCTCGATGGGAGAAAATTGCTGTTATTGTCTTAAGGTTTGGACTGCACCAAAGAATCTTGCTTACAATATAATTAAGAAAATTGCACTAACAAAAGTTATAACACATAGTGAATTTTTTTATGGGACCGAAAGAGTAATAATAACGTATTCAAATTACATGAAAATGTTATATTCCATCAACCACGAGATATTAATACATGGATTATTCGTATTTTTCTTAGAAGGATGTAAAATGCGTAGAAAAGTGATGACTTTTTCTTATCATTAATCCTCTTGGTCCATAAATAATTGTTTGAATTGTATTTTTCATTTTAAGTATAAAGTGTATTAAAAATAAAAATTATTTTGAGACAGAGAGAGGGTATGTTTTATTTAACGGCAAAAAGTGAATCCCATTAAGGAAAGCACTATGAAGATCAAGGGTCGAAGAAGTTTCCAGGATGCTGACCAAATCCAATATGCATGTCTTTCGGGAGCCAAAGTTAAACTGGTACACTGGTTTCTTTCTTCTTCTACAAATTCTTTTTTAGTTTTTACTATTAGTCAGCTTTTTTAAGCCCGCCAAAGCCGATTTTTCGTTGCAACAGTTCCAGTTCACATTTTAACAAAGATTATTCCTTTTCTTCCAGAACAAAAGTTACAATCATAATGCCTTCCACTTTTTTCAATCATCATTGCATAGATTTGCAATTACTATATTAATTGGAGTACCCTTTTCGACAATTCTATCTGGGTTGTTTACCAATTGGGAGTTTTTTCCGTCGAGATGGATTTCCAATTTTCATCTGTCGATTGGGAGCAAGAATCATATCCTCATTACCACGATCTTGTTGTCCTCCCGTTTTTCATCATCTTTTTCCCATTACTTCGATTTGTTTTAGACAGTTTGATATTTGAGGTATCTATCTATTCTGCTCATGCATCATCAGTTTCGTTAATGATTTTTTGATCAGGATGATTCTAAATTACAATGTACTCTTGTTCTATGTTGTTTCAACTTCAATTCCTCTGTTTTTTTTTTTTTTTGATGCAGAGATTAGCGAAACGGCTTATGTTTGGGAAGGACAAGGATAATGCCAAGTTGAAGACGAGTTTGAAGGGGAAGAGAATCAACAAGTTCAAAGAATCTGCCTGGAAAACTGTTTATTCTCTGTCTGCTGAGCTTCTGGCGATTATGGTTATATACAATGAGCCCTGGTTTACGAACACGAAGTATTTCTGGACAGGACCTGGAGAAGATCAGGTTTGGCCTGATCACAAAATGAAGTGAGATTTCCTCTTTTAATAGTTTATATCTACATTTTGATTGCATTCAGAAATATGCGTTTAAGACTCAGAAGTTTCGAAATTGACCTGCAAAAACCGCGTGATTTCTTCTTCGTGTTTAGGTTGAAGTTGAAGCTGTTGTACATGTATTGCGGAGGATTCTACATTTATGCTATCTTTGCTGTGCTTTTCTGGGACATACGGCGTTCTGACTTCGTCGCCTTACTGGCTCATCATGTCGGTACAGTAATCCTGATTGTGCTATCCTATATTTTCAGGTAAAACATTCTACCTTAAATTGCTGTTTTATGGTTACTCGTTGCCACTAGGAATGTTTGCATTTCCCATTCTCTGCCTTCAAATAGATACTGTGTTCATCTGTTGTATAGAGTAATCAGTTGTTTGTTTCGCATTTATTGCAGGTGCGGTCGTGTTGGAGCAGTCATTTTAGCTCTGCACGAAGGAAGCGATGTGTTTCTTGAAACTGCCAAGATATCCAAATACAGCGGCCTTCAAAGCCTGGCAAACAGTTTGTTCGTGATGTTTGCACTTTCATGGTGGATACTTAGGCTTATTTACTATCCCTTCTGGATACTTAGGAGCACAAGGTGAGTTGCAGTTGGTTGCTTCTGCATGATGCCAGTTTCCGATGTTCCTCTCTACTAAGATATGTTTCTATGTTCAATCTCAGCTATGAAGTTCTTACCATTCTGGGGAAGGATAACAAAACTACCCAAGAAACTGTTCTTTATTTTGTGTTTAATTCTCTGCTTTTCGGCTTACTTGGTCTCCACTTGTACTGGGGAAAGATACTGGTAAGGATGGTCATAACACAAATCAAAGCAAAAGGTCAGATTGGCGATGATGCTCGATCAGGTGAGTGGAGAGAGCCGGGATCCTCATTTTTAAGACGATGTTTTAACTCTTCTTCCTAGTTCCATAGGACATTATTGCAAACTCTTTTATCATTCTTGATTTGGATTTCCGATTCTGTGTAGATTCTGAAGATGAAGAGAAACACCAGGACTGATAAACAGCTGACTAGGTGATTCAATTGATTTGAGGACATTTCATTTGCTACTAACTTATATCTGCACCATCAGAATGTTGTATATTCTTGACAGTGTAATCACCTTTGTTTTGGTATCTGCATTATCAGAATGTTGTATATTCTTGACAGTGTAATCACCAACGTAGTCGATATTTATTTTCATGACTGAACTACCAGAACCAAGAGTTAGGGGAAGACAAACATGTCGAAAAGTCGAAATGGGTAAAACAAGTATAAAAGTAATCTGTGCTCAAAATTTTATTCTGGTATCCACAGAGCATATGATTTCACCAATATAATCTATACTGTCATCAAGCTTGTCAACATTACAGCCAACACTAATGCACAGTACGGAAGAAAGAGAACCAAGCGCTCCAATATGTAAAACCTTAACTATTTAACTTACTACTTCTAACAACATTTCAACCAAGAAAGTGAGAAATGATAACTGACCAACTTTGATTACCCCCACTTGAATCATCCCCCCAGTCAAGACATGGAGCCATGGAGGCATAGAATGTGCACCTGTGAACTAAACCAAAAGACTATGATTTGCCTCAACTTCTTCATTGTGAGAACTTTGAGATCAACTTGTCGACATGTATTACGATATCGTCTATGCGTGGGCGCATAGTAGGTTGCGGCTGAAGCATCCATGTCACAAATTGGTGAAGAGCTTCAGGGTATGGTGGCTTAGGCCCAGCGGGCCACTTTATCTGAGCATTTACAATGGCTAATTGCAAGCTCCCACCAGATTCACCAAGTGCATACTCAAATGGAGACACCCCATACCTGTATAGGCAGCCAAGAATAAATGATGATGAATATAGGAATCACGGGAGGAATACCACCAGGTTTCAAATGGGTGTTCAATCAAGCAGTATAGATATTTGAACTATGCATTTTTGAAGTTCAATAATTCATTTGTTTCCTTTTTTGGGCGGAGGACAAGAGTTAGAAACTCACATTATGGCATATAAAGTGCAGCCTAATGACCAGATATCAGTTCTTTCGTCTATATCTGCCTGACTGGGACAATCCCACAATTCGGGAGCCCTAAAAGGAGCTGAGCAGTGCTCTGATGCCCATTCCTAAATAACCAAGAAAAGAGACAAGCAATTCAAAGAAGTTAGAGACGGAAGAGACTACAAAAAGCTCAAACTTCTATCTTAAATAATCGCTCGAGTAATTGGCTTGATTGCTAAAATGTAAAAGTCAAGCACAAAAATAAAAAATAAAAATTAAAGGACCTGCAACTGAAGAGCCTCGGAACGAGAACGGATCTGCTTTCGGGCAGGACGAGCACTTCCAAAATCCATGAGGATTGCAAGAGGTGATTTTCCTTTTCGATGCGTCAAAAGAATGTTACCTGGTTTAACATCATTATGAGCATATGGAGGTTCAAGATTGTGCATATGCTTCAATCCTGCACAGAGCTGCATACACAAAATCTTCAGAAGATGCACTTGCAGATGAAATTTAGATAACAGAAGCACACCCAAACGAGATCTGCTAATGATGAAATCTATCCTAAAACAAAAGATAGAGATCATGGAAACCACTTTTAAGTTTAGACCAGTGGATTCATTAATGCACAGTAGAATGGCTAATATGATGCACATCTAAGAAGCTCTTTGGTAGACAATTAACATATATTGAGAATATAACTTCTAATATGTGCCAACTTATTAAAGGATCCTAGGCTGTGCACGATAGAAACTCAGAGAGAGTGTAGTCGATGTTTGATATGATGGTTTACCTGGCGAAAAATTTGAAGAACATCTGAGGTGGAAAAGAATTCCTTCTTAGCCATCATAGCTTTGGAATTGTCCAGTAATGTCCCATCCAAATGGACTGGAAATAGCAAATATGCTTCATGTCTCCAGGTTTGATCTGGTGTACCCTAGGAGCACAAGATTGGATTCTTTCATTAGAGAAAAAATCAGCCTAATGAGATACCCTTTCCAAAATGTGAATCAAAAACCAATCTTACAGTTGAATATCTTTCAATTACATGAAACTTGAAGAAGAAATGAGGGCATAGTTAGCCTCTTCGGAGAATAACTTTTGCAGATTTCATTCACATAATACTAAGGAGAACCATTAATCATCAAATTCCAGGCAATATCATTCCCTCTCGGTAACAAAATTGCAATAAGTTAGGATATATGACTCTCATTTATAGCTTAAAGTGTGATCAAGATTCATGCAATGTCTGGCTTTTTGGCATTTTTTGGAAGTCAAAAATGACTTTCTGAAACAAACATCCATTTCTCATTCTACGCAGACACATGTTTGATTATTCAAAAGCACAGAAAGAACATGGAAGTACAAAACAACTACAAGTAAGATCTGTTGCCAAACAACTCTTTCCTAAGGCAACGTATGGAAACATCACGGGCCGCCTTAAGGCCAAGTAAAATGGACAAAAAATCAGGAAAATTTGATGAACAGGTCAAATTTCAGGTGTGGAGGCAAAAAGCAAATAAGTTCCACTACAAATCACCTTCACAGCAATGATAGCATGATCAAGGAGAGGAAGTAGATTAGGATGTGTGAACAGGGATGAAACCCGAATCTCCTCCTTCACCAACTCCAGCTGTTCAGTGTTCTGAATAAGAACTTTCTTCATCGCATAAGTTCCATCCTCTACAGAGAAAAATGTATATGAAAAACTAGCATTAGAATTGTTCATTCTAGTTTAGTTTACTCCATTAATTTTCAACCTGTTCAGTTTCTTAAATAATAATAGATCAAATCAGAAGTATAAACAAGAAAGGCAAGTAAATTAAGACAACAGTTTCTGTCACAAAAAAAAGATTTGAAATCAAAACAAGTCCGAATGACAATTGAATCAGATAACAAGTACTACTGGAGCAAACACTATAGGAATGACTAAGAATCTAACTTTTCTGCCTGCTTTTGTTCTTAACAAGGAAAATTAAGGAAAGTGCTTCAGGAGACATAATGAAAATCCGTGAAGTGTGAATTCCTTCTTTAAGTGATAATACCGATGAGCTGAACCGCAACAAGCAATCAGAAAACCATAGAAATGCCAACTATTTTTAAGTGATAGCAATGGCAATTGACAGAAAGATTATCTGCAACAAAGCACCCCGTACAATTGATACCCGGTCAACTCTACTCACGCATATTAGTTTATTATATCACATCGTGTATCAGGTGCAAACTTCATCATGAACTAGTTATCGTATCTAATTACAGCATCAGAGAAAGCACTTCTGCAGTTCTATTATTAACAAAGTCATCATCAGTGGAAACAAATGAACACTATAAAGAAAAAATAACTCCCATTAATTTGATTTGATTTCGAACAATTCTAATTCAGATCACAAGCACAAGAGTCAGATATGCAGAGAGAAAAAGACACAATGGCCACAACAACTTCGAACAAAAATCATCCCTTCATCCCAATTCCACTTGTCTCTATCAACATAAACCCGGTAAAGGATCAAACGGGCCATTTTCCAACAAAATCACGTACAGCTCCCACTATTCAGATCAAACCAAGAAACCCACAACAAATAATCCCGCATTTATGAAAAAAAAAAATCAATAAAGATCCTAAGTTGGCAATCCCAATAGCATAATTGCAGCAAAATTGAAGAAAAAAAATACCAGATAAATGAGGGGAATCCTTGAACTTTTTGGAGAGGCCAGCATTGGAAGGGTCGGTAGAAGGGACTTCCTTAACAAGAAAGACAAAAGCAAAGCCACCTTCACCTAGCTGCCTGATGACCCTGAACCGATTTTCATTGATCCAAACATCTCCCCCGCCATTGACGGCATCATACAGAGCATTCAGACCAGAAAAAGAGCATCCCATATCTTCTTCTTCTCCTTCCTGCTGATTATTAAAAAAGATGCTCTGCTCCTACTCCCTTTGGTAACGAGGGAATTTGCAGAAAGGAAGCCTCTTTTCCACTCAGATCTCTGATTAAATAATAAGCACTGTTTTTCTGGTTTCTTCACAAACTTCTCTTCTCTCTCTCCTATTTAACGTTGTACGTGCTATTGTGTAAATTGCAAAGGTCTTGCGAAATTTTTTGTCCTACTTTTTTTTTTTTTCCTTCATTTTATTTTATTTTTTTTGGCTTCCATTAACTACAAGTTTTGTTAGCCAAAAATTAAAACCAAACGGGTTGGGTTGACTGAAACGAAAATTTTGATAAACTTATAATTAAAAAAAAATCACTTTAAAAAATATAATTATTAAAAGATATTCTCAGCGAATACATATGGCACTCAGATTAATTTTTAGTAAATCGTCTTGCTTAAATTTGAAGGCATATAGCCATATACATGTAAGTTTGAATAATATTTTGCACTTAGACATACTACACTCGGGAAGAAGGATTGAGAGTTTCATTATCCAAAGATTTGTTAATGTGTGATGAATGCTTGGGATTTTTATTTTATTTTATTTTTTTCTTTACAAATCTCAGATAAGTTGGATTATTTTATTGCAAGGATTGTGATGTATTGATGTAGGAGTAGTATATTGTGGGGATCAAATTTGACAAAAACAAGTGCTTATCATACTCTTATTAAAAAAAAAAAAAAAAAGTTTCCCTAACTAACAAGCAATATTACTTGGAGGGAATTGTAGGTCATTGGCACCTAGATCAGTTTACTAGATTCTCCATTTTTATTAAGCAGAGATGTATCCGTTTCAACTGTCAACTCACATTTACAATTTCTTTCTTTCTTCAATTCTCACCTTCTACTATAAGGTAGAGCCGTAGAGTTGACCCCCCGAGTTAACATCGAACTGAGAGTTTCATTTTTCAAGGATGCAGATTTCTGCACTATATTTCCTTTGAAGCTTTTTACTACTATAATAGAAGACCAATCATTTGTAACAAAAATCATGCAATATTCATTTGAAAAGAGTTTTGTAAAAAAAATGTGAGACAAGCAATTTTTGCAAACATAATTCTGATATTCAGTTATCCCTCTTTCTAGTTTCAAGAGCTTCTCTTTGTCTTGTAATTGAGGCTCAGTTTTCTATATCAAGAGAACTAGGCCCTCACTTAAGTCAACACCATCACAACTATGCTCATAGGTGATGGTTTATTTAGGACAACTAATCAGGTCGTCCACTCTAAAGAGACTTGATAGAGGAAACAATAGCCATTTATCTCTCCAATGGTTCCCCTACTTACAAACATTTACGTTTGTAGCTTCTGACTTTTCATTGCTTTGCCTCCCTACAGATCGAATTTTTAGGCTGGCTTGTAACGCAATCCTTCCCCTGATCGCTGGGTTTAAGATCAGAAATTCAGAACTTGAGAGTTGAGAACTTGAGATCAACGGCATCTTCGTTGTTTATGTACCCACAAAATGCATTTCAAAGTGCACAGAGTTTGTTTCTACATTTTCAGAGACAGCTAGGCTGTTGTTGTGTGATGCAATGTATGTTGCCACCTCCGAGTACGATCTCTCTGGCACCTTCAATCGGCACAACCTTTAAAAGGAAAAAGAAGAAGAAAAAAGGTTACACTTGAGACCTCAGAAGTTCAATATTTTAAGAACCATTTTGGTTCACAAGGTTTAGGTTACTGAAATAGCTCTTGTTCTTGCAACTTGGGTGAACGAAAAGAATGATTGACAAGCTCACTTTACCTCATGTTCCGGGAATGCCTTGGATAGGACACGTACAGCTTCATCATCCCACTTTTTGTCCCCAAATTGTGGGGTGATAATTGCTCCATTGGCAATGTAGAAGTTAACGTATGAAGCAGCGAGTCTTGTACCAGGAAGTCTTGGCTTAGATTCACCGCTCTGTTTCCAGGAACACAAAAAAAAAAAAAAGGGGGTGGGAAAGAAAAGGGCATGTCAAGCAATTTCAAGGGGGAAAGTGGAGTGATGTAGGATACATCCCATATGGAGAGTAGAAACACCCCAGGTGATCACTTGTGAGACACAATAAATAGATAGATACCAACCCTTACACCTAAAGAGGTACATAAAATTACATACCCTTCATTAACAAACTGATCACAACTAGATAGACACCGTGACTAGATTAGAACTATTCTGGCTTAAGCGAGTTCAGATTTTGTCTTTTAAGTCAATGGCCATGCATACTTATGAGATACGTTCTAAAGTTCTCCATAGGGTCCCTTAATACTATCCGTGAACCTTAACTCAAGAATCTATTACACATAAATGAATCAAACAGTACCATCCTTTGATTTTCCTTCTCCTATTATAGGTTCATTAATCATAGAAAAACCCAAACACAAGGTTAACGGAACCTTTAGAGATTGGTTATTGCATTAATCATAAGCGGAAAAGTAATTTTGTTTCTGGATAACAGCGGGAAATAAATTCACATATAGAGGATGAAAAACAAACTTGGAGTATCCCAGCAGCCTCATCTTCAGTCATGTAAAGTGGACCAGGTACATGAAGTTTAATAACTTGCAATTGTCTATCTTGAGCATCACTTGTACTGGTCAGAACAGATAACGCTTCCGCGGATCGCTCATGTTGGGGATCTGACTCATCATCTGTCCAGGACAGCAAAACAACACCAGGCTTTGCAAAGCAACACATGTTATCAATGTGACCATTGGTATCATCATCTCCTGCAGTTGGGGAAAAATATGGTTCATCAATTATGAATTAAAGAGAAGAAGACCAAGAAGAAAACAAATTAACTAATAGTAAAAATGTTACATGAAGACTGTCACTGGTCAAGCAAAAACAGCGATATTTCAAATAGAAAAAAAAGCCAAGCATCGTAATGATCAATAACATCACAGAGGGAAATAAAATGAAGAAAAATGGAAACTATAACTCAAAAGGAAGCATCTGAAACTTTGCACTTTTTTCTACTCTCGTCCAGTGAAAACCAGAGTAAATGAACTCACCCATCAACAAGATTCGGGTTCTACCATATCATAAGATTTAGTACCACCTAGATTACAACTCAGCAGAGAGAAACAAGGATTTCTCAACAAACATAGGACCCCTATTTCGAATTTAAAGTCATGAAGAGAAAAAAGTTAATCATCGAACATGTTTGACATCCCCCTCAATTTCTATAAACAATACACAAATTCAATGTAAGACCAATGTGCTTTTCAAAACCGATGCCAGAGTTTCCGCTGAATGGTATGGTTAAATGAGAACACAAAAGTAGAAGGCAATCCAGACAAACCATATAATCCACGAGGCAGCCAGATAATTTTCCTGACTCCAAGATATGCTTTTAGCTCATCCTCAATCTGTTCCTTAGTTAAATGAGGATTTCGATTTTTGTTCAAGAGACACTCTTCTGTTGTAAGGCAACTTCCTGAAAATCAAAAGAGTTAAAAGATCAGCTGCCAGTTCAAGAGTTCAGAGTCTTAGACTACTAAAGCGTGTTAAGTGGTCTTGAATTCAAGGGAAGGTCTCTCAATGAAAGTCATCATTACAATGCCTGTTTAACTGACTGACTCCAAGTTTACAGCTTTCTAAAATCAGAAAATCACACAGTTCAAGTCTCAGTGCCGTGGACCCTATAACCAATTCACCTTGAAATTCAATCAAACGCTTCAGTCATTCAGTGAAAAAGTGCTTCTGCAGGTCCTACAGATGGTTTGAATCTTTACCCTATACTATGAATACAAGCAGATCGATGTAACTTATTACACATTTTTGGTCATTTTGCAAGCAGAGGCATATACAGAAGACAGCAAGACTGCTCTTTTAAATGTGATTGAATGTTTAGTTGCAAGGCAATTTAGCAAGTATGGAGAATTAATGATTGTATGCATGGGAAAAAAAGATTATACATAAAGCTTACCTTCTCCATCTACATGAATGCTTCCCCCTTCAAGAATTAGGGAATGAGGAAATCTGGGGAGTCTTTCCAACTCCAGAATCTTAAGAGTTGCAAAGGAGGATGAAAAACTTATAAGCATAACCACAAGGACATTTTGCGTTGAACAGAATCAGCATAAATTTAATGTCGCCAACCTTTCTAGCAACAAGAAGGTCAAGGCTCCAGTCATCGTAACAGCCATCAGAAGGACCTAGAAGAAAGAACAACCATTTCATGAATTTTTATCCAAATAGTTTAATAACATCACCTCTTTACAAAAGCAGACATGCAATGGAAACAAGGACGAATAAATTTTGTGTCAGATGAAAGACAAAATTAGAGGGGAACAAGAGAAAAGGGTAGAGAAGATACAATTCCAACTGGAAAAAGCTTCAAATTAAATGTCGTAACAATGGACTCAAGCTTCAGGAGAGGAGTCAAAAGCTTTGCCACCATTGCAAAGTCATAGATCTTTAGCATAATTCATAAGTGCACATAGCTTCTAACACGTGCTCTATTTAGAAACTCGATGAGGCATTGTGATTTTCTCACAGGAATTAGCTCACTAGAAAGATGAAAAATACAAAACCAATTACCTAAGATAAACCAAAACATTCCCAAAGCATTCGTGTTATAGAACAGTATTCTTACAGCTTAAGGATATGCTGAAATGTACTAGAGGATTTAGCATATTACAAGATATAAGGAAGCTTACCGCCCCAACTGTTGAAGGTCCAATCTATTCCTGCAACTTTCTGCTGCTTATCTGAACTGGAATCACTCTTCTTTACAACAAACTACAAGAATCAAATCAAGAAATTCAGAAATTGAACTAAAATACTCGAATATTTCTTCCAAGAAACAATAAAACACAAAAAAAAAAGGGGGGGAAAGGAGAGGCTCACAGTTGGACCAGTATCACGAAACCAAGAATCATTCATACTCATTTCCACAACTCTGACATTATGTGGTAGACAACTCCTTGCTTCTCCCCACTAGCGATTCAAAAATTCAGCAAAAACACAACTAACAATCAATAATCAAAAGAAGAAAGACAAAACCCAAAAGTTCGAACTTCCAATTCGACAGTAAACGAACCTGGGAGGAACTAGCACAAACGGTAACCGGTTCAAATCTTGAGATAGCAGCAGCGACGGTAGCAAACACACGCTGAGCGAGTTTCGCATGTTCTCTCCAGTTATCTGGACGCTCCTGCGAGCAAAAAGTATCAGAAACTTTGATCAGGGTTGAAACGTAAAAAGATTCCGGCGAGGCAACTCGAAAAATCAACGGAAAATTCAAGCAGGAAAGTTAAATTACAGGCCAACCCATCCAGCAATGGGAGTGAGGTTCCCATTCCGCAGGCATAGAATAGCCATGCTCAAATGGAGTTCCTTTGATCTCCATTTTCCAACTTCTTCGATTTTGACTTCCTTACAGTGATTTTTTATCAAACACCTTGGAGGCTCTCTCAGCTTTTTCGTTAGTGGCCAGTGGGAGTGGGACAGGAGAATATACTTTTCCGCATTTGAAAAAATACAATAAAAATGAAAAATAAAATATCGGGCCCAGGGGAGTTAGGCTTCAATCTGGATTCGGCGAAGATTCAAATATGGGCTGAAAATGAGTTTTAATTTGGGCTTGTTGTGAAAAATTAATGTTTAGATATAATGATTCAAAGCAAAGGCAACTAATAATTTAGTGATAATATTTATAACTTCTTTATTAAAGATTTTAATATTGTATAAAATTCTAACAGTTTATTCTATTTATATATTATGAGATTAATTGTAAAATTTAAGAAGAAAAATAAAATAGAGTAAATTTAAGATGAACACTAAGAAAGTAGAAGGAAGAGAGAAAGATTCATTCGGTGCAAAGTTTCTCTTCTGAAACTCATATATATATATATAAAGAGAAAATTTTGAGACAAATGGTCTCTATTTTCTTGAATCTATTGTTTATAGGTTTTTGACCTTTTTGGTCATTCACCTCTCTACAACAATCCCCCTTGAATGACCAAATAAATTACGTCTACAATACTGCCTCGTTAAAAACCTTGCTAAAATAAAAACCCAGTAGGGAAAAAAATTTTAGCGAAGAGAAAAAGAGTGCGGTGCGTAATTATCTCCCCCTGATGATAACATCGGTAATTCTTCACATGCTGTGTAAATGACGCATTCCGATGTTATGAATATGTTTTCTGAAAAGTGCTGTAGGAAGTGACTTTGTAGAAAGATCGGTTGAGTTCTCACTGGAAGTAACATATTGAATATCAATATCATTATTCTTCATGAGCTCTTTGGTATATGCAAAGAATTTTGGAGGTATATGCTTAGTCCGATCATTCTTGATATATCCTTCCTCCAATTGGTGAATACAAGTTGCGTTATCTTCATATACAATGGTTGGATTTTTCTTGACTGGAAGACCACAAGATGTCTTGATATGTTGTGTCATTGTCCTGAGCCATACACTTTCTCTACTTGCTTCATGTAATGCATTAATTTCTGCATGATTTGAAGAAGTAGATACTGTTGTTTATTTCTGGGAATGCCAAGAAATTGCAGTTCCTCTATATGTGAACAGGTAACCAGTATGAGATTTTCCATGATGAGGATCATATAAGTAACCTACATCTGCATAGCCAATTAATTCTTGTTTTGAATTGTTAGAGTAAAACAAACCCAAATCAATACTTCCTCGAAGGTAACGAAATATATGCTTGATTCCATTCCAATGTCTTTTGGTAGGAGATGAGCTGTGTCTTGCTAATAAATTGACTGCAAAAGAAATATCAGATCTAGTACAGTTAGCAAGATACATAAGAGCTCCAATTGCACTCAAATATGGTACTTCAGGACCAATGATTTCTTCATCATCTTTAGCCGGACGAAATGGATCCTTTTCATCATTTAGTGTTCTGACAACCATTGGAGTACTTAAAGGATTTACTTTATCCATGTTAAAGCGTTTTAAGATCTTTTTTGTATAATTTGATTGGTGCACAAATATTCCATTATGCATATGTTTAATTTGTAAACCAAGACAATATTTAGTTTTTCAAAGATCTTTCATTTCAAATTCATTCTTTAAGTACACAACAACTTCATGGATTTCTCTATGTGTTCCAATGATGTTCAAATCGTCAACATAGACATCTATGATAACAAATCCATTTGTTATTTTCTTAATAAAAATGCATGGACAAATAACATTATTGATACTTATTTGTCAAATAATCACTTAAACGATTATACGATATGTACACAGACTGGTTTAACATAATGATCTTTGTAGTTTAATTGAATACATTTCTTTGAATTTTGTACTTGAAGCTTTAGGCATCTTAAATCCTTCAGGGATTTTCATATAAATATCACTGTCAAGTGATCCATACAAATAAGTAGTCACAACATCCAGAAGACGCATTTCTAATTTTTCAGAAACTGCTAAACTGATTAAGAATCTGAACGTAATTGCATCCATAACAGGAGAATACGTTTCATCCTAGCCTATACCAGGTCTTTGTGAAAAACCTTGAGTTACGAGTAGCCTTGTATCTAATGATGTCATTATTCTCATTTCGCTTTCGTACAAAAACCCATTTGTTTCCTACAAGCTTTACATTTTCAGGAGTGAGAATGATAGGTTCGAAAACATTTCGCTTGTTAAGCGAATTCAATTCAGCTTGCATAGCATCTTTCCATTTTAACCAATCATGTCTATTTTGACATTCTTTAACTGATTCTGGTTCAGGATCATCTTTTTCATCCATAATTTCACATGCTACAACATAAGAAAAAATCTCATCGTTATACTCAATTTCATCTCTATTCAACAGTATCTTTGTACTATTATAATTGATTGAGATTTCTTCATTCATCTCCTTTTTCTCTTTTTGGAGAATTTCTTTGCTCTTTGTTTCTTCAGGAACAATTTCTTTTCTAGTGGCTTTATTTTCTGTTCCCTTTTTAGTTCGGGGATTTTTATCCTTTGAACCAATTGGTCTTCCATGTTTCAAACGAGGTTTAAACTTTTGAGAGACTTTATCCTCAGATTTTATTTTTGGGATTTCAATAAAAGCAGGAGCATTAACTGCTGGTATATGTGACTTAGTCACACTTTTTGTATCAGTAAATGCATTTGGTAATTGATTTGCAATTGATTGCAAATGTACAATCTTTTGCACTTCTACTTTACATTGTTTTGTGCGAGGATTAAGATACAATAATGATGGTTCGTTCCATGCAATGTTCTTAACTACTTCTCTTCTTTCTCCCCCTAATATTGGGAAAATAATTTCATTAAATTGACAGTCAGCAAAACATGCTGTGAAAACATCGCCAGTTAAAGGCTCAAGATATTTAAGAATAGAGGGTGATTTAAAACCAACATATATTCCCAATCTTCTAAGATGTGAAATGCTTGGTTCACGTCGAAATGCCAATTGCAATAGGGAGTATTTGTGATCCGCACTAGGTCTTATACGAATCAGTGAACCAGCATGTAATATTGCATGTCCCCAAACTAAAACAGGTAGCTTTATTCTCATAATTAATAGTCTAGCAATTAACTTTAGTCTTTTAATCAACGATTTTGCTAAATCATTTTGTGTATGTACATGAGCAATAGGATGCTCAACAATGATTCCGGTAGATATACAGTAATCATTAAATGCTTGAGACGTAAATTCACCAGCATTGTCAAGTCTAACCCTTTTGATTGTATGATCAGGAAATTGGGCTCATAATTTTATAATCTGTGCAAGAAAATTTGCAATAGCAACATTACGAGTTGACAATAAATATACATGAGACCATCTACTAGATGCATCTATTAGAACCATGAAACATCTAAATGGTCCACCTGGTGGATGTATCGGTCCGCATATATCACCTTGGATTCTTTTAAGAAACATAGGTGATTCATTTTGAATCTCGAGTGGTGAAGGTCTCATAATCAATTTTCTGAGAGAACAAGCTGTACATGGAAATTCATTACTTTGAGGGATCTTTTGTCCCTTTAATGGATGTCCATGTGTACTTTCAACAATTTTTCGCATCATTATTGATCCGGGATGACCTAATCTTTCATACCATAAATTTATTATTGAATGATCGAAAAATTTTGCTTTCATTGCCATATGTGAATCAATCACATTTATATATGTATAATGTAAACCATTTTTGAGAGTGGCAATCTTTCAAGTGTTTGAATCTTTCCTGATTCGTAGATGATGATTTTCAAATACTTTTTACACCATTTATAGTCATAGATTGTGTATCATACCTATTTCGGTATATATCATTAAAACTCAATAAATTTCTCCTGGAATTTGGAGAAAACAAAGCTTCTTCAATTTCAAACTTTGTTCCTCTTGGTAATGTAATTTTGGCTTTACCAATTCTTCCAATCAGATCTACAGGACCTGGTATTGTATAAACCACTGCCTTTGTTGGTTTTATTTCAGAAAAATATTCTCTATTTCTTAAGATAGTGTGTGTAGCACCACTATCTGGTATACAAAAATCCCCAATGCTGCTTTTATGTTGAGTATTACTGAAATACATGTCAAACTTCAAAAGAAAGATAAATAATCAAAATAATGTATGAAAGATAACAAGTTTATTGAATAAAACAAAATACATTACAATAATACTAAAATACAACACAATTACATCAAAACAGAGCCATATAGAACACAATCATTTATTTGGTGCTTCAGTTCTTAACATAATCATTATTAAAATAGAAACATTCAAATACATTTGATAGTTTCAAAATTCAACAAATTCACTTGCAAAATCTGAAGCATTCAGCTGAGTTTGACCATTATCCTCCATTTGATAAATATGCTCATTGGAATTTACTTCTTTTCCTTTACCCTTTGATGCGGCATAAAGATCACAAAGATGTTTTAGAGTTCTATAGACCTTTGCATAATGACCTTCAGTACCACACCTGTAACATGCATCTTTAGCATTCTTTCGAGATTTTTCTGGAACATCATTCTTGATTATTTTATTTTTCTTTTGAGGGTGAGCTATTTGTTCATATGGGGCATTACCATGATTATGGCCAGAAAATTATTTCCCTCCATGGCCATTATAGCCACCACGGCCGCCATATCCTCCACGACCGCCACGACCACCATGGCCGTCACGGTTGTGATCACCACGACCATGACCACGACCATGACCTCGGCCTCGGCCACGTCCACGACTTTTAAAATTTCTAGAGTATCCTGGAATTATGACATTTGCTTCAGGATATGCCATAGAGCCTGTAGGTCGTGATTGATGATTCTTTATCAAAAGTCTGTTGGCATTTTCTTCTTACGAAAGTGCTGTTGAAAAATTGGAATAATGCTCATACTTCATCAATCCATGAGCATTTGAAAGAATAATACCAGATGGATGAAATGTTGATAGAGTTTTATCTATTATTTTTTTTTCAGTCATAGGATGTCCACAAAATTTTAATTGTGAAATAATCCTGAACAATGCTAAATTATATTCATCCAGACTTTTAAAATCTTGAAATCGTAATGATTTCCATTCATTAATAGCATTTGGTAATATAACAGCTCTTTTATTATCAAATCTGGAAGTAATACTTTTCCAGACAATACTTGGATCTTCTTGATCAATGTATTCATTTTGCAAACAATCATCAAAATGTTTGCGAAGTAATATCAGCACAGTTGCCTTATCCTTTTCTGTGGTAGTATTTTCTGATTTTATAGTATTTGTGAGACCCATTGATCGTAGATGTGTCATAACATTTGTTTTCCAACACATATAATTTTGTCCAGTGTGTTCGAGAGTTTCAAACTCGAGCTTTGATAAATTTGACATCTTTGGTAACTAGGATAAAGAAAAAAATCGCAGTTACATTTAATAATGAATAAATCTTACAATAAATAATGCTAACAATTTATTCAGTAAATATAACAACGAAGTACTCCCTCCGTCCCATAATTATTGTCCATTTTGCCCAAAAAATTTTGCCCCAAAATTATTGTCCAATTTGACTTTTTATGGATCAAGTTACACATTTGTCCTTAGTAAAAAACATTATCCATAAAATCTTAGTGGTTAAACAATTACTTATGTAGGGGTATATCCGGTTGTTTAAGGTAAAATATAGTTAAGTTTGACCAAAAATAAAATCTTTCATTTTAGTAAAACTGGACAATAATTATGGGACGGAGGGAGTACAATGGTAAAATACATATTATAAGAACAAATAAATGAAAAATAAAATCATCGAATTCTTCTAGGAAAAATATCATAACAATATATATGCTAACTATTGTCATGCAAAAGAGAGAAAGTAAAGACATTTTTTTCTTAGAAAATGAGAAGAGGAAGAAGGAGAATATTGTGAAGGTGTGTAAATGAGATTTAGAAATGATGTATTCAAAGAGAAAATTTAAAATTTTGGCCGTTATATAGCCGTTAATATATCTGTTAAAAATAGCCATTATATACGTATCTTATACGTAAAAGTATAATTATATTTATACATATATAATTGTTAAAATTTAAATAAATCAAAATAAACCAACTAAAGTAATAATTGCATGAGGACATATATATTTATTGTGCACAATTAAATTGAGAGTAAATAATTTATTAGAGACAAATAATTGTAATAAGAATTTATCAACCATCCTACTATATATTAGATAGAATATATAGGGACATAGAAAAACATCCCATGGTAACAAAATAAGTAAAAAAAAAAATCTAAAAAAAATAAATGCATTAGGGATATATCAAATCATCCCACAAGAATATAAATTATATAAGTATACTCATAAGGATATATTAGAGCATTCCACTTATAAAAATAAAACTCAAGATTTGAGCAAGGACAAGTATTTTAAATCAATGGCAAGAAATAAAATGACTTGAATATAAATTAGGAGGTGTTATAGAACCATCCATATGAAATGTAAATACTGGGTAAGAAATTTTATACCTTTGTGAATTGTAGAGACGTCGTGCTGATAACGTGTTGTGAAAAATTAATGTCTAGATCTAATGATCGAAAGCAAAGGTAACTAATAACTATTTAGTGATAACATTTATAACTTCTCTACTAGAGACTTTAATATTATATAACATTCTAATAGTCTATTTATACATTATGAGATTAATCGTAAAATTTAAGAAAAAAAATAAAATGGAGCAATTTTAGGATGAAGACTAAGAAAGTAGAAGGAAGAGAGAAAGATTCATTCGGTGCAAATTTTCTCTTCTGAAACTCACATATATAGGGAAAATTTTGAGACAAACAGTCTCTATTTTCCTGAATCTATTGTTTATAGGTTTTTGACTTTTTTGGTTATTCACCTCTCTACAATAGGGCTGACATTGAGTCAAGAATTTGGAATTTATTTCCTGCAATTTCTTGACTGGGGGAAAATGAGTTGATTATTTTGTTAATGGAGTAGTACGTAGTAACTACTATCATTTAAATTCAATCATTAATTCTAGACGTACCATATGTAAAAACATTAAAAAAAAAATTTTTGAAAAAGATATTCTTAACTTTATTTTATAATTCAGTAAATCAAGAATACTATTTACGAAACATTAAATTTACGTAACAAAAGAGGTCGACTTTCAAACTTTTGCCTTCAATTAGTAGTTAAAACTTTTCTTTCATTTCTACCCTTTTTTAAAAAAAATATTGAAAGGAGAAATTTTTAGAACAATTGGTAATATAACAGTTCATTTATTATCATATTGATTTCCATTCATCAATAGTATTTGGTAATATAACAGTTCTTTTATGATCAAATCTGGAAGTAATGCTTTTCCAGACAACACGTGGATCTTCTTGGTCAATGTATTCATTTTTCAAACAATCATCAAAATGTTTGCGAAGTAATATCAACACAATTGCCTTATCCTTTTCTGTGATAGTATTTTCTGGTTTTATAGTATCTGTGAGACCCATTGATCATAGATGTGTCATAACAATTGTTTTCCAACACATATAATTTTGTCCAGTGTGTTTAAGAGCTTCAAACTCGAGCTTTGATAAATTTGACATCTTTGATAACTAGGATAAAGAAAAAAATCTCAATTACATTTAATAATAAATAAATCTTACAATAAATGATGCTAACAATTTATTCAGTAAATATAGCAATGAAGTATAATGTTAAAATACATATTATAAGAACAAATAAATGAAAAATAAAATCATCGGATTCTTCTAGGAAAAATATCATAACAATATATATGCTAACTATTGACATGCAAAAGAGAGAAAGTAAAGACATTTTTTTCTTAGAAAATGAGAAGAGGAAGAAGGAGAATATTGTGAAGGTGTGTAAATGAGATTTAGAAATGATGTACTTATAGAGAAAATTTAAGATTTCGGCCGTTATGTAGCCGTTAATATATCCGTTAAAAACAGCCGTTATATACGTATTTTATACGTAAAAGTATAATTATATTTATACATATATAATTGTTAAAATTCAAATAAATCAAAATAAACCAACTAAAGTAATAATTGAATGAGGTCATATATATTTATCGTACACAATTAAATTAAGAGTAAACAATTTATTAGAGACAAATAATTGTTATAGGAATTTATCAACCATCCTACTATAGATTAGATAGAGTATATAGGGACATAGAAAAATATCCCATGGTAACAAAATAAGTAAAAAAAAATCTAAAAAATAAATGCATTAGGAATATATCAAATCATTCCACAAGAATATAAATTATATAAGTATACTCATAGGAATATATTAAAGTATCCCACTTATAAAAATAAAGCTCAAAACTTGAGCAAGGACAAGTATTTTAAATCAATGGCAGGAAATTAAATAACTTGAATATAAATTAGGAGGTGTTATAGAACCATACATGTGAAATGTAAATACTGGATAAGAAATTTTATACCTTTGTGGATTGCAGAGACGTCGTGCTGATAATGTGTTGTGAAAAATTAATGTCTAGATATAATGATCCAAAGCAAAGGTAACTAATAACTTATTTAGTGATAATATTTATAACTTCTCTACTAGAGACTTTAATATTATAACATTCTAATAGTCTATTTATATATTATGAGATTAATTGTAAAATTTAAGAAGAAAAGTAAAATGGAGCAATTTTAGGATGAAGACTAAGAAAGTAGAAGGAAGAGAGAAAGATTCATTCGGTGTTTTTTTTTCTCTTCTGAAACTCACATATATATAAGGCAAAGATTTTAAGACAAATGGTCTCTATTTTCCTGAATCTATTGTTTATAGGTTTTTGACTTTTTGGTCATTCACCTCTCTACAACAGGGCTGACATTAAGTCAAGAATTTGGAACTTATTTCCTTCAATTTCTAAACTGGGGGAAAACGAGTTGACCATTTTGTTAATGGAGTAGTACGTAGTAACTACTATCATTTAAATTCAATCCTTAATAATTCTAGACGTACCATATGTAAAAAACATTTATAAATTTTTTTTTGAAAATGATATTCTTAACTTTATTTTATAATTTAGTAAATCAAGAATACTATTTACGAAACATTAAATTTATGTAACAAAAGAGGTCGACTTTCAAACTTTTGCCTTCAATTAGTAGTTAAAACTTTTCTTTCATTTCTACCTTTTTGTAAAAAAAAATTTTGAAAGGAGAAATTTTTAGAACAATTGTCATTCGATATGAATTATTTGTGTCGCATTACAGTGGAGTCATAGATAAGACTTTACAACGTCACGTAAATCAACCAACCGCTTAAAATGTCTCAAGAACTTTTTACAGCAATTCAACCAGTGAAAGTCAATCAACTACATGATTAATTTCTTCCAAAATATAAATCTTACCTACCTTATGAAAAGAAATTTGTTAATGAGTGTCACTGACTATTTATTTGCTCCTAAGAAATTAAATTAATGTAAGACCATTTAATAAAGAGAAGACTTGGGTGGGACTGGTGATATTTACTGAGTTGACCTTATTCAAAGACAAGGAAAATCAACCCATGCAACACGAATGACAAATTTACCACAGGGAAGAAGAAGAAGGAGAAAGAAGGAAAAAATTTGAAGGTAAAGGAAAAGAAAAAGAAGAAATCAAAATAGGGGGGAAATTTTTTTTTTACAGAACCTGCGGTTCTAGATTTTACAGTACTTTTAATACTACTACTCAGATTATGTTGCGGTTCTAGATTTTCACAATATAAAGTCAGTCTTCAATCTTTGTTCGTTAGGACTTAGGAGTTAGGACTATCACTGATCTATCACACCGCTCCACTGGGTTCGGTGTACCATGAATGTGACCAAAATCCATCTAAACTTCCGACAAACACAAGTTTATATCCTAATTTCTTCTTCTTAACTCAAATCCCTTAAACAAAAAAGAATCTTTTAATCAGCAACGTATTCTAGTCCAAGTTCCAACACGTTAGCATCCCTTTTTTTGGCCTATCTCTCTTTATCAAACGCCTCTGTCATTGTTCTGTTTGTTCTTCTTCTTTGCTGCTGTCTTGATTGAACCCACTTGAATAAGCTGGAAACTTTGGAAAGTCGGAATCCCTCTTTTTTTTTTTGTGTTCCCGGTTCTTTTTTTTTTTGGGGACCATTTTTTTTTTCTTTTACTTCATCAATTTTCTAGCAGGCTCTGGAAACTTTCAGAATCAGAAGAACCCATCTAGCTGAAAGGTTGTTTTTTGTGTTTATATATTTGTTTTTTGTGTTGGAGCTTGCGTTTTGCTTCAGTTTTAATTGCGTGATCGTGCATGCGCTGCTGATTGTTGAAGTTCAAGCTGTGTATCTAATTGGTGCTGGATTGGGAGTTTTTTTTCTTTTTTTGATAGTTTGTACCTTCTGAATATCCTAGTATGTATTGCTAATTTGATGTTCTGTATTGAAGTTGTTGAGCAAAAATTGGTCTTTGGAGATTATAATTCGCTTGTTGGATTAGAGTCATTAGACTATCGTTTTATACTTAATCAGGGGGCAAAAACCCCAAGGAGTTATTAGTTTCAAAGTTCTTTTGAGTTTTAGTTCTCCTCTTTCTAATTAAAATAAGGACTTTCATTTTTTATTATTATTTTTATTTTCTTTTTGGTTTTCCTCCGTCTCTACTACCCTACCTCATGTTTGGATTCGATTCCATTGTTGAAATTTGCAAGTTCTGTTATCAGTTAGTTCCGGGCTTGAATTTATCAAGTATCCTAATACATTTTAGCTGCTCATGTTTTAAAATTTTTAGCAGTTTTTGATATTACAAGTGATTCAATAAGTATAAATTTTTGGCAGTTTTGATCTCTCCAGTGCTTTTCTATAGCAACCCTGCCATTTGATTTGTTTTTAGCTGTGTGTTCAATCTATGTTATAATCGTTGCTCCCTGTGTATTTTTGATCTCATATTTAACTTGATCATTTTAGATATTTGCGTCAATGGCTCATGAGAATGGTGCAATTGCTGATTCGCCAAGGAGGCGACAAGGTCTATTAAGAGATCAAGTTCAGTTGGTTAAAAGAAAGGATTCTGATCGCTATGAGATTGCCCCCATCCAAGATAATCTCTCATTTGAGAAGGGCTTCTTTATAGTCATCCGTGCCTGCCAGTTATTGGCTCAGCATAATGATGGCATCATACTAGTTGGGGTTGCAGGACCCTCTGGAGCAGGGAAAACTGTTTTCACTGAGAAAATCCTAAATTTTATGCCTAGTATTGCTGTCATAAGCATGGATAACTACAATGACTCCAGTCGTATTGTCGACGGAAATTTTGATGGTAAGGCTTACTATCATTTGTTTCTATGTAGAGTTTGTGTCATACCACCAGATAAGCAGTTGCTGGATGCTTTTGTTGCCTATTTGTTTTGGAAAAATCTTTTATTTGAAACTTTCTTCTTCAAAAATTATCCTAGTGGTCTTCCATTTTCTCAAACTTCACTCTCAAACTTATTAATGGCCATGAAGTTAAGGGGCGCAGAAGCTGATGAATACTTTGGCATAGATAGGGATCAGTTAATCATGTTTTGGTAATGGGGACTGTGAGTTGGGTATTATCATTGAATATGTATGTCTCAAGTGAGAGATGACTAAGTGTAAATATAATGCGCTAGTAGGGGGCAAGTTTAGATCAGAGTTTGTTAGAAGATCACAATTTCAACTGTTATTCGTTATTTGCAGATCCACGCTTGACTGACTATGATACGCTGCTTGAGAACATCAAAGGCTTGAAAGCAGGAACAGCTGTTCAAGTTCCCATTTATGATTTTAAATCTAGCTCTCGCATAGGTTACAAGTAATTTACTTCTCCATTTCCCGGGTGCATAATTATGGTTATAGCAAGCCATTTTCATCATTCATCTAATTACTAAATTCTAATAGTAAAGATTTTAGCTTCATGCAAGAATTTATGGCTTCCATTCCTGGAAAGTATACTTTTCTGCATTAATGCATTTACCATACCAGGACAGTTGAAGTCCCAAGCTCACGCATCGTTATAATCGAAGGAATATATGCCTTGAGTGAAAAGCTACGTCCTTTCCTGGATCTCCGTGTTTCTGTCACTGGTGGAGTGCACTTTGATCTTGTAAAACGTGTCCTGAGGGATATTCAGCGTGCCGGACAGGAACCTGAAGAAATTATTCATCAAATTTCAGAAACTGTAACAATGAAGTTTGTTTAAGTTTACTTAGTAATATTTTGTGCATGAAGCTTTTCAAGCACTTCATGGCCTTATATCTGAATCTGAATCGTGACTTTTGTTGAGCAGGTATACCCGATGTACAAAGCATTTATTGAGCCTGATCTACAGACAGCACATATAAAAATCACCAATAATTTCAACCCATTCTCTGGATTTCAAAATCCCACATATGTTTTGAAGGTAAAATTTCATCTTTCATGCACCATTTGATTTGGTGTTTTCAAATAACCTGCTTTTGTTTCCATTTGGTGCTCAAATTCAGTTAATTTTCTTTCTACTCCAGTCAACCAGGACTGTTACTGCGGATCAGATCAAGGCTGTTCTTCCCGAGGATCATAAAGAAACCATGGAGGAAACTTATGACATTTATCTTTTGCCACCTGGTGAAGATCCTGAAGCATGCCAATCTTATCTGAGGATGAGAAATAGGGATGGCAAATACAGTCTCATGTTTGAGGTTTGATCACTCTGTTACTGTTTACTTTTGTTAGTCTTTCAAATGTGGCGCTGCTACATAATGCTTATAAAAGATTCATTAGCATTTATTGGCTATATCTGCCACATTCCTTTCCTTCATCTACAACCACTGTACAGGGAGGGTATTGCTTGTTTTTATTTTCTGCTTGATCAAGGTGATGTAATTGAAGGAATGAAATGGATTAAAATTAAAAATATATTACTACCTTTAACTTGGGTGCAAAATGGACTTGGGTGCTACTTTTAACTTTGCTCAGTAGTCTGCTCTTATTGTTTGTAGTGATACAACAACAACTAGCCTTTTGTCCACTATGTGGGGTCGGCTTATTGTTTCTAGTGATATTTTTCAATATTCTTCCAAATTTGTTTATATTTTCTTTCTCTTTGTTGGTTCCAATGAGGATTAAATGAAGTCTTTTAAAACAGGTTCCTTCCATAAAAGATGTCCTGTGCTTGAAAGGCTGATAGTTTGGTGTCCTGTGCTTAAATGGCTGATGGGTTGGATGTTCAAACACCTTTCACATTTTCTGCTGATCCACCAATAGTTTATGCTAAATGTTTTTGAAAAAGAATCTCTCTACTTTGCTTAGTTCTAAAGTGCTACACTATTTAGTCAGTTCGAGAACAATCTGCTCTCATATCCTGTAATGAATGACTCCCCTCCCTCCCTGTATGTTGTGGCCTCAGCCGTTTGATTGGATGTTTGGATCATAATTATTAGTTCATATCGTTTATCCAAACTCGTGGGATGTGCTATTAAAACAGTAATTAATTTCTTCCTTTAAAGCCTGTTTGGAGCTAAGTTAATGTATTAAATATGTTCTGTGCCTGTACTTTGCAATGCTAGAGATGATGTTGCTCTGTGCACTGGAAGATGTTTGTCTAAGCTGGCCTGAGTTTTTTTTTTTTTTTTTTTCGGTTGGTTTCTCTCAGTTTTTGGGTTTGGCTGTAAATTTTCTGTTTCGTCTGTATGATGAAAATCTATCAAATGGGTGCATATACGAGTGTTTAAAATCTGTGCATTATTTGAATCAATGAGAAAATACCTAATCTTTAAGCAATTCTCCAAATTAAATTCAGGAATGGGTAACTGACAGTCCTTTCATCATTTCACCAAGAATTACTTTCGAAGTTAGTGTACGACTGCTGGGTGGGTTAATGGCCTTGGGATACACAATTGCATCCATCCTGAAAAGAAGCAGCCATGTCTTTTCTGATGACAGAGTCTCCGTGAAAATTGATTGGTTGGAGCAACTAAATCGCCATTATGTTCAGGTACTATTACAATGAAGTGAAAGTTGAGTAGGAAGCTAATAAACTCTTATTATAGGGCACTATCTTAATGTAAGTTTAGTTTTACAACACCCTGTCTATTTCCAACTGTATGTGATAACTTAAATTTGAAGTCTCTACTGTTGGTTGGCTGTTAAATGTCAATTGATACCTGGTTTACTCTGAACTGGACATTGTCAACCATGAAATTTATTTTGCTTTGGCTACACCCATCAGAGCTTGTTAATCTATTTATTAGAAACATGTGGACCAGATGGAAAAATATTTTCTTAAATATGTTCTTCAGATAGTAAAGATGACAACCAATTAAGCCTTAATGGCCAGGCAAGCCTTTTTAAGGTACACTCCACCAGAGGTACTTAAATAATTAAGATAAGTCACTTGGCATTCCTCTCCCTAGTTATGAGGTTTGGCTAAAACACTCTTCAGAATCCTTCTGTACTACATTTTGATTTACTATATATGGAAAAAATTGGTCTTATGCTACTTGAACTTTTTTAAAAGAGAAATTAGGAGGGATTTTATTTAAGGCATTGTTATTTGGGGGATTGTGGGAAGATGAGATCATGTCTGTGAGCTAAAGGTGATGATAATTATACTTTGGAATATGCAAGCAGTGAAAGCATTAGTTTTGTTCCCAAGTTAGCCTGGACAGCTAATCTCATTTCCATGCGCATGTATGAAGATCCAAGGAAGAGATCGCTTATACGTCAAATACATTGGTGACCAACTCGGATTGGATGGTTCATACGTTCCTCGCACGTATATCGAACAAATTCAACTGGAGAAGCTTGTGAATGATGTAATGGTAAGAGTAGGAATAGGAGCACATTGGTCAAATGCGTTAAGGTCCTCTATATGATTTCCTGATAAATAGTTTGTGGTCCTCACAACTTTTTACAGACATTGCCAGCAGACCTAAAAACAAAGCTGAGTATTGATGATGAGATTGCCTCAAGCCCAAAAGAAGCTCTGTCCAGAGCCTCGGCGGATAGGCGGATGAAGTTTCTTAATAGGTAAATTATCTACTTTTTCTCCTGAAGTGAGATTTTCTAAGGAAGATCAAATCTTTTCCCAGCAGTATGTGAAAACTTTCATTTGTAGTCATATTACCATGAAAATTACGTTAACTAAATCCATATGCATTTGTTCTATATCCACTTTAAGACTGCCCGGGGTTTTGAATCCTTTAGTATAAGTAGGTTATTATTGTCATTTTCAGAGGGGTCCCGCATTCATATGCGTCATTGCGTGATAAGAACCTGTCCAAGCTAACAAAACTAGCTGTTAACAATCGGAGATATGATGGAAGAACTCCAGATTCACCTGCACCACTTGCTAATCAGGTACTCCCTTCTTGACTTAACCTAGGTATTCTTTGATTAATGCTTTTGTACAAATTCAGTGGTTTGATAGGTTTTCTGTATCGTATATGGTGATGTCCCTGAAGTCCCTTTTTCCATGTATGATGATGTCAGCAGAATCCTTATTGATCCATCTCTGAATTACCATTTGTTTATAATCTTTTGGGACCCTGAATGAATGTGGGGTTTACATCTCAACTTTTGCTGTTTCAGGGAATGATCAATCAGCTATCAGAACAGATATCCACATTGAATGAAAGAATGGATGAGTTCACGTCTCGAATTGAAGAACTAAACTCAAAAATATTCACCAGGAAAGTCTCTTCCAGTCAACAGAATCTGGCTATGCAGGGTGATGCTTACAATGGCATTGCACCTACAACAATGTTTGTCACAGGCTTAAGCAATGGTACATTGACTGGAGCTGTATTACCTAATTCCTCGTCATCTTCTCAACTGGCAAGGGATTCTTTGCTGGAAGAGGTAAGCCTGCGTTATTTGTTTTCCCAATGTCTGTTTGAATATCAGGGTAAAGGTAATCTCTCTTACGGTTTATCTTGCCAAAAAACACCGTGTCAAGTCTCACATCCTCTGCAATGTTTCTGATATCCATCACCAATTGATCCACCATTTTGTTAGACTCGCTGATGCAAGAAATTTTTTAAAGCAGGTACTCTTAATTTCAAGGGGTCAGCGACAAGTCATGCATCAGATAGACAATCTCAGTAATATTTTGCGAGATTATTTTGGGGAGAAGGCACGTCAAGGGAGGGAAAATAGCGCCGCTAGAACAACATATCTTGAATCTCTTAGTACTCCACTACTTCTTAGTTTAGTCGTTGGAGGAATGGGTGTTTTCCTGTTCAAGACGTTATCATCTCATCAACACTGAGCGAGAGCTGACTTTGTCTCACCGGGGGATCTTTTTCATCGCATAGACTACAGAGTGATGTATACCTGATAAATTGTTTGTTTCCTTCATATTTTGTGTACTGACAGATAAAAAAAAAGAATCACATATGGAAACTTAGTAGTAACTTCTGTAAATAGACTTTCCTTGTATCAGTAGAAGAATTGGTAGGTTTGCGGCCTTATGCTTATTGGAGAATATCTGAGACTGATGTAGCAATTTTAACATTGCTCTTCTTCTGAAAAATAGTAATTAGAATCCTCAGTTTATATTGATTTTGGACGTTGTCACTATTTTTGTGCGGTCTGTTATTGTTTAATCGTCTTGCCATGTGTGCAGAGTTTCAGGTGGCTGAGGAGAAAATTTCATTTCTAAATTGGTAAAGGGAGGATAGCCTTTTGATTTAAGAGGTGTTCTGCCAGGAAGAAAAATGCCAAAAGAAAACTTCCAATGGTTTATTCGTACTGGAATACCCCTACTGTCACTTCAAACAGTTCCCGCATACAGAGATTATAACGGTTCTTGGTTCATCGATTAAAGCCTTTTTATCCGAGAATTCTAAGAAACGGAAATATTGAGGGAAGTGTGCAATATAGAGGGAGATGCTTCCCTAAAGGAAGGGACAGAGTTTGAGATTGTGGACAAGTATCAAAATGTGGACTTATAGTAGAAAATCAACCAAGAATTCTCTAAAACATTGGCATTGATAAGAGGCCGCAGCAGGCATACAAGTCTAAAAACAGTACATGGGCATATAACACAGGTCTAACAATCTTAACCACCTATACCTAGAACATGGAGTTAGCAAGTTCAGTCACTTCAGAAGCAACTTGATCATACTCTCCCTTCAGCTTCTCTTGTTCCTCCATTCCTAGCTCTCCTTTACTAGGCTTCGTCAGCACCAGGACACAGCAAGTGGGTCTTTTGGTGGATCCAGCATTAGCAAGATCCTGAAGCAACAAGTAAATTCAATATGAAGATAGATACATCACAACTATCAAGCCATATATATTCACTGTTTCACCTACATCTTTCTTCACATGCATCAATACAAAATATCTTGACCAATGTTATGCATAATCTCCCATTGAAAAAAAAATACTGTATACATAAAATGAACCAGATGTTATGTTTTTGACGAAATTATGACAATTGAACAAAAATATGAGACAAACAAGTCACTGCTCTATATGCGACAAACAAAAATATACCATCATTCTTAAGTTGATCATAATAACAAAGATTACGGGTTTAAGATATCAAATAAACAGTCAACAAGAAACACACAGGATAGGTCAGGCCCGCTATTTCCAACCAAGCTATATATACCGTATAGTAGCTTCGAAACTCCAGGTAATTACAGCACAAACAAAGACGGCTATTAGCAGACTTAAGGGGCCAAATGATAAACATCTGCTCCAGAAAAGGAGTTTCTTTGACCATTTGATTCACCAATGCAAAAATGAAAGCTAGAATTGTGATCCAATCATCTATTAACGAAATAGGTCAAAATTGCCTTACCTCTTTGGATTGAACATAGATATAGGGAATCTCTGCTTCTTCACATAGGACTGGAACGTGTGTGATGACATCTATAGGAGATATGTTCCCTGCTATGACACATAATCTGCATTTGCCAGAAAGAAGAAAGTTCATATTTTTGAAGAAACAATATCTACAGCATACATCAAACTGGATGGCATATTAAAAGGCTCCTTTGAGGACAAGCTATATATACAGTGAAGTATCAAGATAAAAATCAAACACCACTTGCCAAAACTTCTAGGAAAAAGACTTAAAATTGATTACTTTTATAATCGACCCCAAGGCATATATGCCACAAAATGCAGGATTAGCCATAGGTCTGTGGCATTCCATTATGAGTCAAATTCATAATATGGCACATCAAAGATCATGGTTTAGCGTTTCACAAATTTCCAGTTCTACAATGCCATTCCCGAAAAACCGTACAACTTCAGGACAAAAGAACATAAGAAACAAACAATATATTCAAGCTTCCCAGAAACAAAAACAAAGATGCAAACTAGCAAAACAAATTTCCAACAGAAGATAAACAAAATCGAAGCTTTCACTAACCCTTTTTGACCTCGTCGGATACTTTTCACGACCTCCTTCACCCCTCTTTTCAAGCATTTATGCTCCGCAGCTGAAACCCAAAAAGAAAAAACTCAACTACTTCGTTTTTAAAATCAAAGACATCTCCACGATCGATTCAAGTAGAAAACCTTAGATAAAAGATTAAAAAAAAAATTGCAATCCTTCCAGCATACCATGTCGGACGAGTTTGAGGGTCCGTTTCCCGAGCTTTTTTCCGGCCAAGGGTTTGGCAATTGGGGCAATAGCCAATAACTTCTTCTTCTCCTTTTCTTTCTGAGCCGTCTTCTCAGCCTCGCTATCACTTCCCATATCTGCCTTCGTCATCTCACCACAGTACAGGTTAGCTCCAACCCTCTCAGTTGAGTTTTTAGAGATGGCGGAAATCGTATGAATCCCACTAGGGTTTTAGATTGAGGCCGAAGGGTTTATGTTTAGAACGGTTTAATTTATTGGTTCGTTTATCGTTTGGGCTTTTGGTGTGTTTATTTGGATCATTGGGCCTGAAAATTTGGTTGAAGGTCAAGTGTCACATCCTTAGACTTTTTACTTTTCATTTTTTTTTTTTTTGAGGAAATATCCTTAGACTTATTTGTAAAAATTAATAATTAGGGACTAAAATCTAGTTTTAGACATAGGATTGGATAACCAAAGTGGTTGTGGTGGGGACTCCTCCACCTTGAATTATAGGTCCAGAGTTTGAATCTCGCCATGGGCATGGAGCAATCTTAAATACTTTGGCCAGCTGTCCTACCCATTGAAGTTGTTAAAGATAATCACGAAGAGGAGATCATATCAAGAAGTGGAGAGTCCTTGTTTAGCTAATGAGTTAATTTTGTAGTTAAGAAATGGAATGATAAGTGTTGAATAGTTGATAGCTTTATATTTTTTATAATTATCTAGTATTGAAAATAGGTTAATTATCATGTATAGAAAAGCCTATAAATAAGGCTCCTACCTCAGTCTTTGTAATTCAAACCAGTCACAATAAAGTCCTTTAATTCATTTCTCATTAATTTTTTTATTGTTCTTTAAATTCTCATTTTCTTTTTAGTATCAGAGCAGGTTCTTTCCTGCTTCTGCTTATTATTTTTTTTTTACCATCAAAAAAATAAATCATGGTTTCTTTGCTTCCGCTCACTAATTTTTTTTTTTAAAAATGATTTCTTGATCATGTTCATTCATAATATAGTAGATGTGTCATGTTACTTCAAATTCATCCTAAATCACTATTTTATCTTCCTTCTCCACTACTAATTCTATACTCCAATTTGATTCTCCCAAGAATGTCCACAATCCCTACAACTCTTTCACAAATCAATCTATTGAACCGTAAATTTTTATTTTATTTTATTTTATTTTTCCTTTCACAAATTAACTTTAATTGATCCACAAATTTCAGACAAAGAGGAAAGGCACATCTGAGTCACTCTACAAAATTCCCATTATGACAAAAGTCAGATTCTCTCCAAGAAAAAAAAAGTTTTGACTTGTCATATACCAATCTAACATTTACAAAAATTCCCAATATGACAAAAGTCATCTTCTCTCAAAAGAAGAGTTTTGACTTGTCATACCACAATCTAACCAAACAACAAAACTCAAGCAGTCCAAAAACATGACAAGAGTTACTCAAGGCAAAGGATCGATGTTGGTCTACAAGTTTTTCACTCACTACTCCTGTTCTGAAGGATGAGAAAGCCGTCAACACAATCAAAGTAAACTGAGTTTACAACCCCGACTCAGTTTGAGGGAGGATATTAAAGATAATCATCAAGTAGTGGAGTTATGATCTATTTTTAGTGATAGAAATCTACTTTAGTGATTAGACTTAATTTATTAATTATCAAAAATAGTTTTTATCATCAAGAGTAGTTTTATCCAGTAGTATAGATATACCTATAAATATGGTATCTACCATTTATTTTGTAATTAAACGAGTCACAATGTAATCTTCAAATATTATTCCACATTCTTCTCTCTTTTATTTATGTTTTTAGAATTCTTATTTTCTTAATAATCAAGTAGTGGAGTTAGGATCTATTTTAGTGATAGAAATCTACTTTAGTGATAGAATTAATTTATTAATTATCAAAATAGTTTTTATCATCAAGAGTAGTTTTATCCAGTAGTGTAGACATACCTATAAATATGGTGTCTACCTTTTATTTTGTAATCAAACAAGTCACAATGTAGTGTTCAAATATTATTCCACATTCATCTCTCTTTTATTTATGTTTTTAGAATTCTCATTTTCTTCTTGGTATCAGAGCAGGTTCTGCCCTGCTTCTGTGCCATGCTTCCGCTTGTTTTTTTTTTTTTTTTCCAAAAAATAAATCAGTCTTCTACTTGCATATGTTCCATGTCCTTTGATATCCCTACTTGTATATGTTCATATTCAGACTCATTGCATTATTTTTCATCCTTGTTGACAACTCCAATCCCTGACTCAAACTCCAATTCTAAATCGGACTCACCGTTCAAAGCTTCATCAACAGCCTCAAGCAACATAAACAGTCGACTTACTCTCAATCACCACCACCTCTTATCAAATATAAGTCCCATGTTAATCACAAAAATTCTGTAGTTGACGGAGAAAAAAATGTAGATGACAAAGAGAAATAAATCTCTGTCTATAAAAAATTCACATCATGGTAAACGTTCGATCTTCTCTCAAAAAAGAGGTTGGACTTGACATACAACAATCTAACACAACAATGAGAATCGATACAGCTCGTTTCTCAACAGTTTCTAGCAATTCAACAATTTGAGTACACCACTCAAAAACACATAATACGTCACTAATTCTCACCATTCATATATCAGAGAAAGGAGCCCAAAGCGTGGTCAGTACCAGTCAAGAAACAAACTCTGTCTCCAACCCCGACTCAGTTTGATGGAGATGTTAAAGATAATCATGAAGAGGAGACCATATCAAGAAGTGGAGAGTCCTTGTTTAGCTGATGAGTTAGTTTTGTAAATAAGGACTGGAATGATAAGTGTTGAGTAGTTGGTAATTTTATATTTTTATAATTATCTAGTATTGAAAATAGGTTAATTATCATCTATAGAAAAGCCTATAAATAAGGCTATTTGTAATTCAAGCCAGTCACAATGTAGTCCTTTAATTCATTTCTCATTAATTTTTTATTGTTCTTCAAATTCTTATTTTCTTTTGAGGTATCTACAATTCAGCGAGGGATTAGTTATTGTTGCTGACGGTGGATACCCTGCAAATATGAAAAAAAAAAAAAAAGAAATAGGATCGGATTTTATATTTAGTATGACTTCTGAAATATAAAGGCATCATCGATAATATTGAATGAAAGACAGTTTACTGTTCTTCCCCCTTGTTTCCCGGTTCTTTCTTTCCTTCTGAATTTCTCAAACTCCAAATCTCTAATCTTCGTCCCAAATCCCTTCCTTAATCCTTAATTGTTTATAAGTTCATGAATCTGACCCTCAGCCGCTGACACGAGAGCAATTTGAGATTTTAGGAAAATGTCATAAACTACGAGAATTAATATGTAAAATTGTTTAACCCACGTGTAGACAAGAGTAGTAAACAACTCTGTACAAAAGAGAGTACAGCAAAATACATGTTCGGACTTATTGGCCTAGCAAATATTTGGTGACTTCAATCCGAGAAACTGATTAATCTTCCGGAACGGCCATACAACATGAAGATGACATCCCGGTGGCGGTGACAGTAATCTGTCAATGTACACTAACACCGGATAGGACGGTTTCGGCTATTGATCCGATCCGATCCGATGGATATTCAGGCAGGATTTTGGAATCGCCGAGTCTCATAGATTACAATAATTTTTACCACCGTCAATGAAGTGCAAGAATTTTGAGGAAACTTAGAGTATGTATGAGGATATGAATTTTTTGATACATGGATCTAATTCCATGCATGCAATTCGATAAATACTGTATTTGGAAAAATTTACTTTTGAAACACGAAATTCTCGTTCGAATAGTGCAGTATAATTCAATACACTTATAAATTATGATGTTGGAAAGAAACGTTCAAATTTGATACAATTCCAAGGAGAAAGTCCTTCCCGTATATCATAATTTTTAATTATTATATAAAGGCTAACATGTTTTTGGGACACTTATACATGGAAACTATAGTATTCTCTCGGTCCTATAAATATTCTCCAGTTCGGATTTTCATTTTTAGTTCAAAAATGAAAATCCGAACTGGACAATAATTATGGGACGGAGAGAGAATAATTATTCCCTGTACTTCAACAACATTGTTCAAAAATGAAAATCCGAACTGGACAATAATTATAGGACGGAGAGAGAATAATTATTCCCCGTACTTCAACAACATTAACCTAGCGTCTCTCAACATATTCAATGTTACTAAGAATATACCAACATGTATTTGCCAAGATATCCAGTGTTGAGCCCCGTCACGTATAGTTCGTTACCTTGTTGGTAAACTGTTGTAACGAGTTGACTGAACTCTCGAGTGAGGTCTAGTATTGCTAGTATTTGGCCATCAATATTAAACTTCACAGCTTGAGTATTTGCATAAGTTTCATTTACCACATTGTTAATCGGAACCCAAAAATCATCTTCCCCCTTAATTCTCGTAATATGGAATGGATTCCCTAGACCTGAGAGTATAACTTCAGAATTACCCGCCTTATCTCCTTTTTTATAATACTTTTGGATCCTACGAGCCGCGTACTCCGAAACAAAGATACTCGAGGCTACACTGTCTGAGGCCACCCCTGCCGGAGCTCCTAACCCTGTGAGCAATTCAACCACTACTTTTGTTCTACTATCATACTCCAATAGCTTTCCGGTTGAATCTCCAGTTAGTATGGAAGTGTTGATATCTCTGAAGAGGAAAATGTTAGTTATGAAGTTATTGGACCATATTATCAAATATTTGAATAGAGACTCGTAGAAAAAATTAAAATAAATAATCTCTACTTATGTTTAAGTAAGGGGTAACAAAACATACCTTAAATTATATATACTGCTAGCATCGACGAAGTAAACTTTGCGATTTATAGCAGCATAGAGGTCGTTAAGCGTATGGTAAGGTACACCATCTTTAGAAGGGACTAAATTAGTTGCAAGTCCCCCGAAATTTCCCACAATGTCAAGCCCAAGGGATGAATCAGTAACATATATCTTGCCCGTAATGGGGTCTGGACTCAATCCAGCAGGAAATCCACAAATTTGTAATTTATTAAAGTTTGTTGTACCATCACAGAATGCGCTGGTGCTGAACACAAAGAAAATTCAATACGAACACACAAGGATTAAATATAACAAACTTAAATGACAACTTATAGAATTAATGACATCGAACATCATGCACCCTCCGATCTTGTTTATCACTATAAATAGGGTTTGAAGGCAGTATTTTTTCCTGCTATCGAAACTTAAAGATGAGACCGAACGAAAGTAATACCGATCTGGTGAAGTATAAGCAAAATCTTCAAAAGTTCTACGAATCTTGTTGTACTTTAAGATTCTGCCATCAAGGACGCCTATGTACGGACCTTTGTTGAACAAGTCAAATGTGAAGCCTCCAGTGGTTGTCACCTTCGGGGGTAATGGGATCTTTTCGAATGCGGTGATACTGATATTTCTACGAATTGAAATAATATTTGAGGAGATCAAACAAGGGAGGGTAAAGAGAAGTAAAAATGTAAACAAGGGTGCCATGATCATTATATTCTTCATCATGACGTAATCACAAAAATGTTAATGTTGTTTATATGATATATGTTATTTATAGTAAAATATACAGACGTAAAAACTAGCTACAACATGTTTTTGCTGCGGATTTTAGGTTTGTATGCCAGACAGTTTGGTGTAACCTAGTCCAAATTACTTTTAATAGTTTGGTAAGGCGCGATTCAATAGTTGAAAATGTAAAGCCATTATTATTTATTAGTACAAAAATTAGGCGAGATTGAGATTTAACATCATACATGTTATTCACATGTTGAAATATCTTTCTCGTTTTCATGCCAGATAAATAATCCATTTTTTTATAAAAAAAAAATTCATAAAATGCGTTATTCATTTGGGACAAAATGAATATAATTAAAAATGTTTCGTTTCCTTTATATTGATTATCAATCTGGTAAAAACCAAATTTACACCGTTCATAGAAAGAAGAAACATCAAGGATGGAATTGAACTAAAACGAGGTCGGGTCTGTGGTATATCAATCTATTACATATTAATACAAAATGATTTTTGCATATGTGGTGCGCAATTATAAATTCAATCAAAATATATAGTAAAAAATTAATTATTATCCCTCCGTAGTAATAATTTTATAATTTACTTAACATTATAAGAAATTTCTACCAATTGGACTTGTAAGGTGAAACAGAAGATACAATTAGTTATATAAGATTTTGTTTCATGTTTTAAAATGGTGGTGTAGTTAAGGATTAGGATGGGAATGATTATTACTAGGAGGTCGAGTGTTTAATTTTTCGTTGAGATATATAATCATTGGAATGTCTCAAAACCCTAAACCCTAAACCCTATATATATATATATATATTGTTTGTGAATATGGTACGGGTTATATGGTTATATACTGGTGATGCAGATTATTGTGATAGATGTTTTTAACCGACAGATATCTGACTAACTATAAGGGCTTTTTTTCCTAATTTTTTTACTATTTCTTATTTGTAGTTTATAATATAGGATGGTTTAAATTTTGTTTAGTTACAATATTTGTATAAGTCGAGAGCTCTAATTCAGACTTTAATAACATGATTTTGAAATTATTATATGAGGTGTCAATTTATTTTGGCTTGTTTAATTTTTTTTTCAAAATAAATTTTTAAAAGAGTTACATTTACATTGTTTTTACAAAATAAAAAATAAGATTTTACAATTTTGTCACAAAATCATGGGTGCGAATAAATAATGTTTTTTGTTTTTTACTAATTATAATTTGTTTAAATTTAAATTAAAAATTATTACAACCCGCACAATCGTGCCGTAGTATGCTAGCATGCGGGTAAATACTTGTAAAACTGATAATATCTATAACATTAATTAATTATGAATGTTGTACCTGGTCGAAAAATTGGCACGCCTAAACGACGAGTACCAAGGCCGCCGTCTAACAAGCTAGCATGGTAAGATTTGTCAAATCGTCTTGGCTAAAGTCAACAATGGTTAAATCTTGTTACTATGAAAAAGTTAATCCCAAACTTTTGCTAAATCAGTCGAAATTTTGAAAGTTTCTACTCCTTCCGATCCTTATTATAAACCATTTTGATTTGTATTATATTTATCCTAAATTTCACTTAGGATATCTTTTTAATTGAAATAAAAATCTTAAAAACATATTTTAACGATGAAGGTAACACGACGAATGTAAAAATATATATTGAAGGTTTTTTTTCTAATTAAAAATAAGCCCTAAGTGAAACAACCTAAGACAAAATTAAAATGGCAGGTACTCCCTCTGTCTCAAAATTATTGTCTAGTTTGAGATTTCACTTTTAGTACAATTTGAACTAAAAATGAAAATTCAAAGTCGACAATAATTATAGAACGGAAGGAGTAATAAGGAGTAGTTTCTATTCCAAACTTTGTTCATGATTTTGTGCTCAACGACGATTTACCAATACATAAACGGTTTTAATTTTTTCTGTTAAAAAATATTGCACATAATCTAAAAAGACGTCTGAATAAATGATTAGATTGTCATCGTCAAGCGACGATACATAATACTAGCTCTGAATAGTTTGTCAATCAGTTAAGGGACAAAGAAGTTTAATGAAAATAAATTTTTAAGTTATCTATAGTTTTGATCCATCCAAATAACACCTCCGATCATATTTATTTGTCAAAGGAACCGAAGGGTTCGACATGATCAAGATGCAAAAAAACCACTTTATGGCCTTCATCAAATGCTCAACCTTTTCACTAATTATTGGCATCTCTTCAAAAGTTTGTGAGACAAGATGATCGCAAAAAAGCAGAGCTTAACGAAGTTTTTTGGTTCGTTTGTTTCGTGTGTTAATTAGGTGACAAATGCAAAGAGCTTTCTGCACCTAAATCATATCAAAAGAGCGTGAATAAAAACAATTTCCTACATAAAATGTCGTTCTCTGCAAAACACTAAGAATCACACCAGACATTTAAACAAGTTACAGATCAGAAGTAGTTTCGTAGTTAGTCTCCTAACCATATAAATTCTTGTGTTTTTATTACTAAAAACCATCAGTATATACTTTTACTGAAATTCTGATCGCAAAATATAATGGGCAAAAATCTCAAGATGGTCATTTGCATTTTCTTATTCCTCCTGTATTTTCAGCAGCAGGTTGATTGCAGCAGGTACCCATTATTCAACAGACTCTCACTTCGGCGAGCCAATGCCTCCGGCGGAGAAGCTCTTGCCTTTAACGCCAGAGGCGGCGGACCTTACACCGGAGTTGCAGACGGCAGAATACTCAGATACCGTGGTCATTTTCTGGGTTGGCAAGATTTCGCCACAACCTCACCCATGAGGTAAAAAAATTTCTTTCAATTTGGAGTTATACTCTGTTTTTCAGACCAGTTTTGAATGATTCTGGAAAATCAAATTTTCTCGGCTTTCATGGAGAATTTTAGGAATGAGAAGGCTTGTGATAGCACAAATGGATCAAACGCGGCAATGTGTGGAAGGGTTTTGGGACTTGGATTTGATTTCTTGAGCGGTGATCTTTACGCCGTGGATACCCATTTCGGATTTCAGGTCATTCCACAGTCCGGCGGTCTCGGAATTCAGCTTGCAACAGGATTCAACGGCGCCAATTTTACTTACCCGAATGCATTAGACATTGATCAAGTAGCCCGGGAAGTTTACTTCACTGATGCTGGAAAAGTCTTCCAAACCGGGTTTGATACTTTGATTTCCATCTTTCCAATCTGAAATTTGATTCAATTAAATTCGTCATCCATCAAATATAACTAAGAAATTCAATGCTCTGTTTTTTTTTTTTTTTCCGGCAGGAACCTGGCAGAAATCCGGAGGGGCAGAGACAATGATGGGAAAGTTTACAGATACAACATTGAGACAGCAAAATTAACGTTGTTGATCAGTAATATGTCTGGACCAACCGGACTTGCAGTGAGTAGAGATGGTAGATATTTGGTGATTTCTGAGTACAGCAGGAGCAGAATCCGACGGTTTTGGCTCAAGGGTCCAAATGCACTTACTTCAGAGACGCTGATTAGGCTTTCCGGCAATCCAGAAAACATAAAAACAACAGCAAGAGGAGATTTCTGGGTGGCCGTCACCGTGCCGCAACCGCCGCCGGTTCAGACGACGGCTGCCATTGCTATAAGGTTCAATGGTTTAGGCAGGGTTCTGGAAACCATTAATCTCACATCAGAGTACAGTGGGGACTTGATTTCCGAAGTGCAGGAATATTTCAGGAGATTATATATTGCGTCTACTGCCTCAAGCTTTGTTGGAGTTTCTCGAGTGAGGCCTTAAGCGGTTTCTTTTTTTAGTTTACTTGTATTACTTGTTTCCAAGGTAGTTTTTAAGTTTTAACTTTGATAAAACCATAGAGCAACTATACGAGTTTATATATATATAATGAGCTTGATTTCGCATCAAAGAATTCCATGTCACCGAGGAAAAGACGTACTTGACCAAAATGCCAATATAGCAAAATGTAACATTTTGTTCCATATATGTACAAAAAGTTGTTATCATGATCTAAAACTTTATACTCTCTTCCCCATACACAAAAATCTAATGGGAGACGATTCAATACTAAAATTCATGTTTATCGTCATTCTTGGCTTGAATAGTACAACAGAGGATGTAATATAATTGCAGGTTTAGCGTTAAAGTGATGTCAATATGCCATATAAGTCACGTGACAATGTTAAAAAGAAATAAACTCAAGATGATGTATTGATCTTCACATGCTTAATGTGTATGTGGATAGTTCCAAAGAGTTTTTTTACACTTAAATAAATACGGTAAAGTCAGTTCCGAATACGCATCATTCCTTCCGAGATGGAGTGAAAATTAGCCTAATGTTGCTTTTTTTTTTTTTGAAAAGGCTAATGTTGCTTCTTAATTTGATGAAGAAGAGGGAAATTAAAGTAAATTCCGCAATCAATAATGCCTTTGTAGCGAGACTTCTCTCTATATAAATAAATTGTTGGCTTTGGCTTTACATTGTAAACATATTAATCATAATTACCGGAAGTAATGGGAAATCTCAAATTCGTTCTCTGGATTTGCATCTTTCTTTTGTGTTCTCTGCAATTCCAAGTTGAATGTGCCAGAGTCAGACCCAAATATCCATTGTTCACCAAACTCTCATTCCTCCGAGCTAACGCCTCCGGGGCGGAGGCTCTGGCGTTTGATCCCAGAGGCGGCGGTCCGTACGCCGGAGTCGCAGATGGCAGAATACTCAAATACGGCGGCCCACATCTCGGTTTTCAAGACTTCGCCACAACTTCCCCATTAAGGTAAAACCATTTTTTCACTTCTCAAAACAGAGATATCTGCCCATTAATTTACCAATTTATTCATTAATCTTGAGATGTAATGGCAGGACGAAAGATGAATGCGACGGCAAAGCCGCACCGAAGTGTGGAAGAGTAGCTGGTCTGGGTTTCGATTATTCAAGTGGTAACCTTTACGCTCTTGATGTCTATTTTGGGTTCTTCGTCGTTCCACCGTCCGGCGGGCCGGCGATTCCAGTTGCAACCGGGTTCAAAGGCACCAATTTCTCCCTCCCGAACGCATTAGACATCGACCAAGAATCCCAAATCGTTTACTTCACCGATGCTGAGAAAGTATTCCTCTCCGGGTAAATTGATTCAAAATCTTTCCCCCCGATCTCGCCGGAAAATGGAAACTGATTAGGCCTCTGTTTCATTAAAAAAATCAATTGACTCTTTTTTTTCCTCATTTCGTCAGGAATCACACAGCAATATTCGCCAGTAACGACACAGAAGGGAAGGTGTACAAATACGAAATTAAAACTAAAAAGATAAGCTTGGTGCTCGACGGACTAACTGGACCAACCGGACTTGCGGTGAGTAAAGACGGTGACTTTCTGGTAATTTCTGAGTTCATGAAGAAGAGGATTCGGAAATTTTGGCTGAAGGGTCCCAAGACAAATAGTTTGAAGACACTGATTACGCTTCCCGGAGCTCCAGATAATATAAAAAGGACAGCAAGGGGTGATTTCTGGGTGGCGGTAAGGGTGTCGCAGCCGGAGACGGTGGAGATAGTGGAGGCGATTGGGATAAGATTCAATGGAGGTGGCCGGATTCTGGAAAAGCTGAACTTCACGGCAATTTACGATGGCAGAATGGTAACGGAAGTGCAAGAGTATTCACGGAAACTCTATCTTGCATCCGCTTCCTCGGACTTTATCGGTGTGTATAGGAGATAATAAAGGCATTTGAGGTCTTTGATTGTGTTCCATTTTAAGTACTTGATTCTGTGCCAAAATGGCGAACGATTGTATTTTGGGACGAAAACAGTAATTATATATTGTAGATCTTGCTTTTTATGGTAGAGATCCTAACAAGAGTACTAAATTTGACTCCGGGTTTCTAATTAAAAATCTTTGATTTTGAGTATTTCGTCAATCTAATTCTATATTTTCCTCTTAGAATTAAGAAATGTTGTTTATGCACTTCGCAATTGTTGGATTTTTTTTTCCTGGTTTCAAATTGTGTTGCTTAATAAAAATTTAACGATCAAGTTGCAGGTGTTGAAGAAACTTCATGTGTAAATCTATAAAAGTAGAGTGATCAATCATTACTCTAAATCTTTTTCATTGCTTTGGAGCTCGGCTTAGCATAAATTTGGTATATGAGCGTCAGAGAGTTTGATGCAGCTTCCTTCAGTTTGTTTTGGACTTCAATTCCTTCAATTTCTGTAGCTTTATCAAGTTTTTACCTTGACATATATATATATATATATATATATATATATATATAGTACTCCTATTGAAACTTGATTCCATCTTGAATCAAGCACAAATATCCAAAAAAAATGTATTATATCTGTCCCATAAAATATATTCCACGTTGAGCTTTTAAATTTGTACTAAAAACAGTTTTAAATTCAAAACTCAATATGCACTATTTTTTTGTAGGCCGGAGGGAGTATCAAATTACTTTGTATGATTTGAATTTTGAAGCCGTAACTTAAGTACAAGAAGAGACAGAAAAACATTTTCTTACAAAGTTCGCGACACCACAAAGTACAAACGGTGAGAGGGGAATTATTGAATTGACCCATTTTCACCCACTAAGAATAGCCGTTAGTTAAAGACTATTGAAACTCCGCGAAATTTTTGGCCTTGCTTGTGTATTGTGTTGTTCATATCTCCAAGAAAAAGTTAGAAAAAATACTAGTTTTTAACAATACTCGTAACTAAACGTTAAATTTCCTTAGTATTTCTTTTTTCAAAGAAAAGGCTATCGAATTTAATGGCTATAAAAAAATTGCCTTTTTTTTTTCCTTTTGTCACTTCACCTTATCATATGAAAATAATTTACGTGTTTATTGGAAGAGTTTTACCTCCTGAAAGAGACTTACTCGGCTCGAATTTGAATTAGTCGAAACAATAATTTCGGAGATCGGGTACGTAATATACTAAAAAAATCAAATTGACGGTTGACTAGTACTACGTACCATTTCTTCAATGAAATAACACTAATACTTATTTCATTCCAAACTTCTGGACCATTCTCCTTAAATTACGTTGAGGGGGCGCCTGCCTCCGTTTTAGACAGTAGCAATTACGGTAAGATTCATCGACTTCGGCAAGATTTTGGAAACGTTAAATCTCTCAATATAGAAATGTAAGAATGACAGGAATTATCTTTTTGGTCATCTTCTTTAAAGTTTAACACGACAATAACTTTTTTTTTTTATAATTTTAATTTCATACAAAAAGGAGTCAGCAGCTAGTCTAGAATATATCATATTTTTGTGGCGACAGAAACCAATTAAATTACTAAATAATTACAGGTTGGCCACTCCTATTGATCTATAATCGCCAAACAAATAGTAAGTATACTTCGTCACAAAATTTCCTTTTCTCAAAAGATGAACAACAGTAACAACTGCGGATCTCGGAATAGCGGCAGATCTAACGTGAACTCCAAGATCGATGTTGACTGGAGACGAAGTGATGCAGCGCGACAATGAACCCAAGAAAATAATGAAGAATGGCCGGCCAAACTGGAAAGAACAACAGACGAGTGGCGGCGGAGGAGGAGAAATCCAAAATTGTCCTACAAATGAGATCTGGTCAGATTTATAGAAGATGAACATCCACCGATCGATGATGATGAGATCGGAAGACGACCCGAGGAGGATGACAATCAAAAAATGAAAGGAACAACATTATTCGACCACTGATGATTGAACGACCGACGGCGGAAGAAGTGGAGTTCTGATTATCTGCTCCTCGAATCACGGAGGGCTGATACTGTTGTTACCATGAAATCCTCTGCTCCTCGGTTGTGAAATTTTTGATAAAACTGGAGATATTGTTTCCTTATTTTGCGTTATTGAATTAATGTGATCATAGGATCAGATAACGTATTAATTGAAAATATCCTGTTCAAATTATCCATTTGGAAAAGTTCTAATCTAAAATATATTTCTGCCATTCACTGCATATGTATTAAAAAAAATGTAATAATAAAAGCAGCTAATTTTATCGTAAATAGAACTTTTTATCCCAATCAAAGAGAACTTGTATAAAAATAAATCAAAGAAAGCTAACCATTTGTTTTGCTATCCTCATTAACCATTTCTATGATGTATCATATTGTTGCAACCGAAATAAAAGTTTGATAAATTCCCCATCAATTATGCCGATGACGATGATCAAGGGGATGAATCCATGTCCAAGTTGTCAAATCTTTGATCAACTTCATCTTCTCCACCGGTTAAAGCCTTGTTCTTTGCCGATTTGCTGCCCTTAGGCTTCAAGGAAATTTTTTCCGACGATTGTTTCGTCTGATTTCTTTTCGACTCTGTCCTTCGGGTCCAAATTTGATTTTAACATACCAATGATCATACACCCAAGAAATTAATTAAAAATAAAGAAGAATGAGCCGTTTTCAATATTCTCGGATCACAATGGGAAACCAAAAAGACAATAAAAATTATAATTTGAATAGAATAAACATCAAAAGATGGGACACAAACCAACAAAGATATTGTGAACACTAAGACTCAGGTGAACGGTCAAAATTTTTGCAACAAAACCACATCTGCCAGGAAACCCAAAAGTGACAAAAAAAAAAAATCATCAGAATTAAAGAAAAAAAATCGCCAGTTCAAACCACCGATCTAAATTAGATCTCAGAACTCCCAGTGAAATGAACAGAGCCTATCTCCACCAGAGAGCACACAAAAAAATAAAAGTAGTTCTGATTTAGCCTCGAGCTTCCGCAGAAATCGCGTTCTTGTTGGTGTTATTCTCGGAAGCCACCGTCCCTCTTTTGAATATGGATAGAACAAATCAAAATTAAACTTAAATCAAACCGAAGAAAAGGGGAGAATCTGAGAGTAGCTTTAGAAAAAAGAGACGAGGAGGGTGAAGAATACTTTTTTATATAGGGACGAACATGGAACAATAGATTTGTCACCTATCGCAATCAAATCGTTGCTCTTAAGATATTGTCCTTGGAAAAACAGGTTTGTGTTTCCAATCTTTTGAATGTATGATTTATGTATGTATTTGTATATAGTACGTTGCGATTCCATGCATTGATTCAGTACAACTCCTCTGTTCAATTATTCTCTTATTAAATTTGTGCAACTCTAGGATGCATTAATCTACTTTCAAATTTTCATTTCCACATGAATGATGAGGTTGCTGGTCTGAAGCTATGCTTCTACGTTGTTCCTACAATGCTCCCTTGGGTTGCTATGTTTTGGAATTTTATTTGCTATGTATTCCAGGTGTGTCATAAAGGTATCTATGAAGCGTTTATAATTATCACATATCCTGGAAAAAAAAAATGAACAGAGGCTAGCTAGAAAGGGCAAAGGTTTGCATTTTTTCATCGTTTTTTCTGTTTTCAATTTTCTTGTGGGGGATCTTAGGCAAGCCCTTTCCGAGAATGATAGATGCTCATGTTGAACTATTTGACCCATGCATGTTTAGATGCTTTTGGCATTCTTCTGGAGAAATATCTGTTGTATATTAGACTTCAAAACAGTTTATATTAACAAAATTAGGTTAGTTTTACTTTTTCTATGCTTTTATTATCCTTCATTTTGTTTTAATATGAAGTATATAGTCATGTTAGAATTCAGATTGAGGGATTGTATGCTTTTAAGACGAGGTTTGTTTCTTGATCATTTGGCATTAGAATCAAATATACATATATAATACTTTTGATGATATTTTCATTTTTCTTGAAACTTAAAAATATGTATGTTTCTGTTTAGTTTAGAGGAAAGCTGAAGATTTGACTAAAAACTTTTTAAGCAGGACGATGCAGAATAACATGCTGTTAAAGATGAAAATGTAGATCGAATGAGACCTTCTGTTTTATTTTAGTTTCACAGACGGTCAGAAATACTTAAATAGTAAAATTTTATTTTTCTTTTCGTTTAGTTTTTTTTTAATGGGCTGCCGAATATACTAAAATAGCAAAGTCCTCTTTTAGATTCAAGCTCAATAGTACTTTTTTTTAATTCTGTTTTATATTTACGTGTTTTTATGTATTCTAGATTGAATTGGATTGAATAGTCTGATTGATTTTTTCTCGATATGTTGCCATTGGTGGTACCTCCATCAACTAACACTTTTGCAGGTATCTAACCTACAAAAAAATTTGTAATCTTTATAGTAGAACGTTATAAAATGATATACTATTACATATGAAAATGAAGATGGAATAAGATCTGCAAGTTTTTCCTTCTTTTCCTTCTTATTTATTTTTTTTACAGACAATAGAAAATACTTAAATACCAGCCACAATTATTGCAAGTTTTTAACCTACTAAAGACTTAAAACTTTTTAAGAAGGACGTTGCCGAGTATCATACTGTTAAAGATGAAAATGATTATGAAATGATTCTTTTTCTTTTTCATTCTTCTTTTTTCGTTTGTTCAACAGGCCACCAAAAAGACTAAAATAACAATCAATACCGTTTCATGTTTTTAACCTACTAAAGACTCATACCTTTTTAAATAAGACGATGTAAAACGACATGCTGGTAAAGATGAAAATGGAGATGGAATGAGACCCGTCGGAAAGTGGCTTTTTCTTAATTAGATGATACTCTTGGAAAATATATAATTCTTGATATGTTTCTTTTAGAAGTATTGCTTTTTTCCGATATATTTTTTAATAATGGAACAAATGCTTTGACTTTTTGTATATACCCTTAATTTTTTTCCGTTTTATCTTATTTATAAACAAAACTTATATTTCTTATACGCTTTCGTTTTTTTGGAAATCTGTTGAAACTATATACTCATATTTAACATAAAAAAAAGATAATTTAATTCTAATTTGCTCACCGTGCAACGCACGGGTAAAACACTAGTATATATATTATTGAAGTTTTCTTTAACTAATTAATTTGGACTCTTATAACTAATACTAGTAGATGAAGAGCAACTCTTAGAAGCCGCATCTAGATGAAAATTTGGCGATGACATAAATTCTAACTTTGAATACCAATGGACCGCAACTCAAGAATTGTTATTGGCCTAAATTAATGTTTTCGTAATAAAAAAATGTCTTTTTGGCCGTGCTATCTATTTTAGGCACGCCATCTAATTCTTGATCAGAATGCAAGACTTTAGATTACAATCGTGGTTTGATTTGGTACTTGGATTTAAAGAAAAGAAGTGACGACAAATAGTAAAATAGGATAGTGAATTATGTGTCACATACGTATTTAAAAATTAACTATTGTTAGTAGGTAACTATTAGAAGTAAAAATGTATGATTTTGTCTTTTTATTAGTTAATATATCATTTTTCACTATAATTTTTCACTATTGTATCATTGCTCTTAAATAAATATTACAGTAGGTTTTAAAAGGAGAAAACTTGATAAGGCCTTGTCATGGTGGATATATGTATAGTGATAAAAAATTTTGTTGGGAAATTTTCTTTATTGGAAAATAATTACTTAGTTTTAATGTAAATTAATCAGAATAGTGATTTTAGACACGGTAGAGAATGTAATGAATAAAAAAAAAGAGGAGAAATCTTGATGGGTGTGCATTTTCTTATTCTAACTTGTTCCTTTTTTCTCTATAAATACCATACTAATATTTACGTCCTTGGCAAAAGCTACAAATCAAGCCACATATAGTACTTGTATCACTTTACATCATGACAAACACAATGCCATTAATTGTTTACCTTCTCGCATCTCTCTCCACACTTCCCTGCTTGATCTTTTCTAAAACTCTTCCACCTAGAAGAAATATTGGGATAACCGGATTTACAAAACTCCCGCTACTCAATGTGGGATTGGGAGGCACAGGATCGCTGACATTTGACTCGTTCAATAAAGATCCATACACAGGTACTACCGATGGACGAATTGTGAGGTACAACAAGCTCACCCGAACTTTCGAAGATTTCGCTTACACTTCACCAAATAGGTAATGCTTTCTTCAACTCCTGGCTTGAAACACCAAGATATATGTGAATATAATTTCAATAGAGTGAACTATTAAAATGAGACGAAAATAGTTAAATATTGAGGTGACTATTTTTTGTGTTCAGGACCAGGGCATTCTGTGATGGCACCACTGACATTGCGAGGTTCCAAATATGTGGTTTTCCAAAAGAATTGAGTACCGACTATCTTACTCGGGAAATTTATGCCGTTGATTTTTTCCTCGGCCGGCTGACGAGTGTTGGACCTTCCGGTGGGCTGGCTACTCTTCTAGCCCCGACTAACGGCCGTCCACCTTACAATCAACTTCTTGGCGTAGACGCCGCTACAAACCGCAAAGTTTACTTCACTGATGGTAGTAGTGTATATGGTCCAAGGTGCGCTTTCTTTAATTAATCCTATATCGATGTCATTAGCAAATTTATTCACTTCTTCCATATCATAATATTTTAGTCAACTTTATCGAACTAAAATAATTTCACCAAATTTATACACAATATTCGATCAAAATAACATCGGAGTAACATATTTTCTGGTTAGCGAGGTGGATATCTCGATACAAACCGGCGATTCAACGGGAAAGTTGTTGGAATACGACACGCAATCGGGGGTTGTGACGGAGTTACTCACGCAACTCGGAGGTCCGACCGGGGTGGCCACCAACTTTGAAGCCTCTTATGTTCTTTTGGCCGAGTTCAATGCCAAGAGAATCCAAAAGTATAATTTAAAAGGTGAAAAAGCTGGTACTTCCGAAATACTCTTAAGATCGACGGGAAATCTCAACTCGATTAAGAGAATCAAAGGGGAGGAAAATTTCTGGGTTGCTAATAACATTTCTGTTAATGAAACCTTTGTGGTTCCTCAAGCGCTGAAGTTTAGTGGCCGTACCGGAGAAATACTGGCAACGTTGGACCTCAGTCCACAGTATAATCAGCGAGTTGGGGTCGTTTTACAACAAGATGATGAACTATTTGTTGGGGCTCTCAACGTACCATTCATCGGCAAGTACAAGTTGGTATACTTTTAATTGGTTACACTTAACAATGTGTTAGAAAGTGAGGAATGGTTAATGAATAATATGAGGAAATAAATATGGCATTATGTATTATGGCTTTCTTCCCCTCTACTTGTCACTTTACCGCCCATATGATGAGTATTAGTACAAAGGAAGAATTCTCATCCATTTTTAGTATCATATTCGCAATTTAATAATCATGTTTTTGTTTTTGTTTGTTTGTTTGTTGTTTTCTTTTGGTTTTTGGATATATCAATCGAACGCAAAGACTTAGAGATTCATTCTTACTGTAAGAATCTTACATTACAAGCCATGGATAAGAAAATCCAAGTTTCCAATTATGGTGAAATTGAAATCAATTTCAAATTTTTCTGGGGTTCCTTCTGTTGAGAGTCATGTAGCAAGGATTATGAATCCCACATCGGAGGCATGAGGACATGTGAATCAATTAATAAGTAAGGTGGTCTCAGAACCCATTAACTTGAGCTTTTAAGTTAAGATGGGTCTTATCTTACTTATTAGGCTCCATGTCAGGTTTTCTCCTCTGGATAAATCCCCAACAGTGGTATCAGAGCCCAAGTTGGGCCAAGTGGGTGGGTGATTTAGCCCAAATTATCTCGGTTGATCTGACTGAACCCAGACAGTTAAAGGCCCACTACGAGCGAAAATGTAGGGATGGGCGGCACAGTTACTCAGGGATGAGCAGCACAGTTATAGCCCAAATTATCTCGGTTGATCTGACTGAACCCAGACAGTTAAAGGCCCACTACGAGCGAAAACGTAGGGATGGGCGGCACAGTTACTCAGGGATGAGCAGCACAGTTACTCAGGTGGAGTACAGATTTGGGCTTGTCAAGATAATTTAGAAGCCCGATGTGGAGATTGCCCATGACAGGGGAGAATGTTGAGAGTCATGTGGCAAGGATTATGAATCCCACATCGAAGGTATGAGGACATGTGAATCAGTTAATAAGTAAGGTGGTCTCAGAACCCATTAGCTTGAGTTTTTGAGTTCAGATAGGTCTTATCTTACTTATTGGGCTCCATGTCGGGTTTTCTCCTCCAGATAAATCTCCAACACTTTCTAGCATCATGAGCTCCCTGTAACTAAAATGAGAATTTCATCCTAACACGTTGTAACATTCTTAATCGATCTTTTAAAAATTCAAGGATGGTGGAAGAATGAATCCCTATAATTAATCTGCGTGTTTTAAAAGACTATATTCCTATCTTGTTGTACAAGAAAATATATGTTACAAAGTTGAATTATCTGTAAACATATGTTTTTCCTGAAAATATTGATTATAATTGTCAGCTACAATTACAAAAAAAAAAAAACACTCTCCGATTGAATGCCCCAATATAAATCATAAGCTTTTTTGTGATATTTTTGGAAATTTGATTTTCTTAAAATAAAAATTCTTCCAAACAAATCACGTATGCCCGAAGATCTACCCTTTTTTAAAATATCAATAACCTTGAAAATTCGGAGAAATATATTTATATATATATATATATACGTGAGAAATTCTATGGTCCAGTCATAAGATTTTGACTAAATCATTTACCTAAAATCTGTCCAATCAAAATGGGATGCACCATACGCGATTATGGGGCGTACTACACCATAACAAAACTTAATATTAGTTTCTTAACAATAATAGTTAAACACGATAACCATAAGATGGACATTTTTTACTATTGCAAAAAACTTCAGTGGATTAGCCACATCCCCAAAGGCCAAAGCCAAGCAAAAGTCCACGAAAAATGATCATCATCACTATGAACAGGAGGGCCATAGTTGTCGTAGTAATCATTAGCAAACCAAACAGTAAGCTTGTGATCCTTAGCACAAGAGAAAAGAAGATCCCATCTCTGATGTATTTGAGGAATGTTAAAGTCCTCTCATGGCCTTTCATCGGAAACGGTTGGTCTGTAGCATCTAGAATACAGTCCTCATCTTCCTCTAAGGTCATAAAAAGTTTATGCTCTTGTCTTGACTTATTGCTCTTGTTATTCTTCATATAATTAAACATTTTTTTTCCTGGTTTTAATTTTTTAATTAGGCTTTGGGGGCCATTTTTTCCGAAAAATACTACTCTCTAATCTCCAATTCATCTATCCTCTGGAGCACATCATTTCTTTTTTCTCTTCTCCCCGTTAAAGCTTGTACAACAAATGAATTACGCAAAAATGAAAAATTCAACCAACAGTGAATTCCAAATTCTAATTCAGAGCTCAATACTTGGGATTAAATAAACTCGAAGATTACTATTCACCTTGACCGCTTCCTCCCAAAAAACTGTCACACAACCACAAAAAATTTCACATGGTTCCGCCATGACTACCGTTGCACAATCGTGAACATAGAGAAGCTATGGTCTTAATTGGTTCCCCCATGAATCCAAGGATAAGACTACTAAGGACAAGTTTCCCTTGATTGATGTCACTTAGTGGGGTTATTGTAATGCTGTGTTGCCGGAAAAGTAGTCGGTGGTTGCTAATGCTAAGTTTATAGCCAAGATTGCAGAGAAAAATATCACGCAGGCCACCGATTGTCTCGTACTTACTGCTTTGTTCATCGTCCTAGCCTCTGTTTGGATGTTTGAATTTTATCTCAACGTGGAACCATTTTCTGGAGGGAGAAATGTTAATAATTTTCCTTAGAGAAGGAAAAAAAAAAAAAAGAAAAAACCTTGAAAAGGGCTTGATGCGGAATAAAAATTGTGATGTTTGTGAATGAATTTTTTTTAGCCATAGCTAATGCAACAAGATTCACAATTTGTTAATAGCCACAATCAGGTGTAATGTAGTTTTTTCTAGTTTTAATACACCTCATTTTAATCTAATGGCTGTTATTAATTTTAATCATCCGACGGCTGGCAACGTCAACTGGACCATTCGGTCGACTGCACCGTAGTCGCTCCCTATATATATATATATATATATATATATATAAGATATCACTCCCTCCGGTTCTTAACATAAGCCATTTTAGATTTTTTTTAGGTTTCATTTTTAAAAAACACTTTAAAATTCTTTTTATAATAGTTAGGAGAATATAATAAATGTAAAATGTATTTTTAAGATTTTAGTTTGAAGTGGAAGAACATGATAAATGAAAGTTACCACAAATCAAAATGACTGATAATAAAAACTGGAGGGAGCATAAGGACAAGTGATTAGAAAACCGTAAATTATGCTTGTTATGTTCAGCTGTAAGAAACTAGGGAAGCTGATATTTCGACCAACAAAATTTACGACTTTGATTATTGACGTTTCCTCAACCTTCAATCCATACTTTGACCTAAATGTGGTGATTTTTGGTTATTTTTGTATCAGATTTTTCTCTAGCTCGAAATGTAATATTTTTAACTAACCTTAAAAATCAAAGGAGAAAAAAGCCATGATATTAGTTCAGAAGCGTAACTAAATGTGATCACCTCTAAAAGTAATTAGGTATATCGGCAGTACTAAGCAACCTAGGCATGCCAACTTTTCTACCAGAAGTCCACAACGTATGAAACTTTGGTTAATTAATTTGTTCATTCGTCCAGCTTTATTAGTCGGCAGTGCTGATCTAGGCCTTCCAATAAATTAATTTCATCTTGGTACCTTAAGAGAGTAATAATTTGTTTGGCCAAAATTTTACTAAAATTATCAACAACATTGAATTCCCAAGTTGATACTAAATTACTTCGAGCATACGTTGAGAACGTATATACTCCCTCTGTCCCATAATTATTATCCAGTTTAGATTTTCATTTCTGGTTCAAACTGTACTAAAAATGAAATTTCAAATTGGACAATAATTTTGGGACGTAGGGAGTATAACATGAATCCACACTCATTTATATCTATAGCTATCCAAAAATCTAGGCCTTCCAATAAATTAATTTAACATTGGTACGTACCTTTAAGAAAGTAATAATTTGTTTGGCCAAAATTTTACCCAAATTATCAACAACATTGACTTCTCAAGTTGCAACTACGAGTAAACGTCGATAACATATAACGTGAAATGCATACTCATTTATATATATATCCATCCCAAAACTCAAATCAACAACTTTCAATCTATTTGCAAATATTGCATCTCAATACCCTCATGATGATTCATAGGATTATCTTGTGTACCACCTTCTTTCTTCTTTTTACTTTTCCTTGTTTAGTCTTTTCTAATAATCCAACCGCCTTTTCGCCTGGAAGAAATATACGCATTTCTGCAATTCAAACGCTCCAATTACCATCGAATACTGCATCCACGGGAGCCTTGACTTTTGGTTTGTTTAATGGAAGTATGTACACAGGTACTATTGATGGTAGGATATTGAAGTACAACAAGTTTCGTGGAACTTTCGAAGATTTTGCCTATACTTCACCTGATAGGTAAATGTTTTAATTCGATCCCAACTTTACATTCTAATAATTAGCTTTCATTTGGTTATATTTATGAGGTATAATTGTAACAGAAGTCGTTGACTAGCCATTCTGTTACATACAATTCAGCCTTATTTTTAGATTTAATTCATTTGTATTCAGGACCAATGCATACTGCGATGGAACAACTGACATTGGAAGGTCACACATATGTGGTTTTCCTAAAACATTCAGTACTGACAAAATTACAGGGAAAATATATGTCATTGATTCAAACCTAGGACTTTCAGAAGTGGGGTTTTCTGGAGGGCTTGCTACTACTTTAGTTCCTTCTAGAGATGGTGTACCCTACCACCTACTTCTTGGGGTAGATGCTGCTACAAATCGCAAAGTTTACTTCACTGATGGCTCCAGTATATATGGTTTAAAGTGAGTTTTGATTTTCTTGCACACACAAAAGTTATTATGAGCTTAAAATTATTTTTATTATATTCTAGTTAGGAGTAATTTAAATCAGGTCAGTATTTGGAGTCTCAACTTGTTTGTCTCTTAAGAAGAATAACTTCTAACACATCCATCAAAGTTTGGTTGTATCTCGAACAAAAAACTATTAGACAACTCGTGATATAAAATATTTGAACCATTTTGTTCCATTTGAACGATCCCTGAGATTAATTATTGCACCTCCAATCAATATATAATTAAGCTCAGAAGAGGGAGTTAACAAAACCAAATCATCACGACACCAGTGATATTTTGCTCCTTTTTTTTAATTTTTTTTTTTTGACAATATAGGAGGCTGAAGCCTCGTTTAGTACAATTACATTCCGTGAACAGGAAATACGCATCATGTCATGAACTAACCAAAGTTTTGCTATTTTCAAACATGATTTCGATCTAAATAACACTAGCTACTTGCGCAAGTGCAAAGTTGATAAATGGATCGATTTTAGTTGAGTATATAAAAAGGGCAACAAAGGGCATTATATTTTTGTATGTTACTGATGATCTCTTCGTTCCTATATTTATATAGAACAAATAATAATTGTATATGCTTAATAAATATGACCAGACGGAGTAAATCTAATCCAAAGTGGTATTCCACGATCTTGTTATTTTTGTTACACATTGCAATACACAATTTGACCGTTATTAATTTGGATTAATTCTTTGCCATCAGGGATTTGAATGTTTCCGTAGTGACCGGTGACTCCTCCGGAAAATTGTTGGAATACGACACCAGAACGAAAGTTGTGACGGAGTTGCTGACAGGACTGGCAGGTCCGGCCGGGGTGGTCTCGGATCCGGTTGCCTCTTATCTCCTTGTTTCAGAGTTCACCGGAAAGAGAATCCGAAAGTACTACATAAAGGGACCAAAAGCTGGTACTTCCGAAGTTATCTTAACGTTTTTGGGTAATCCAGACGTGATTACGAGAATTAAGGGCGAAGAAAATTTCTGGGTTGCGGTCAACAACCCGAGTAGTGAAATCCCCGTGGTTCCTTTAGCCATCAAGTTTAGTTCCGCCGGCGAAGTACTAGCAATGTTGCAGCTCGTCGGGGAGTTCAAACAGAGGATTACTATTGTCTTTCAACAAGGAAATCAACTGTTTGTTGCGGGACTCAACGTAACATATATTGTCAAGTACAACTTGGAATATTCTTAGTATAAGTTTAATAAACATGTTAAAGAGATCTGTAACATGTTGGTGTTTAAGTATGGGGAATGATTAAAGGTTTATTTTGACGTTGGTTTAGTTTCCATTGTCAATGTCATATATACTCTTAAAAGTTCCCATAACACATTACATTGATCCTCTCGGGTTGATAATGTTTTTGGAACCTCAGTTATGATGTGAAATAATAATAAATTTTTATTTTGGTTTTGAAAAGTAGTAATTAAGTTGATCACTTGATCGTTAAATTTATGTTATGTATTCATTATACATGTACCGGAAGAATCAAATCATCTTTGTAACTTCAATAAGGGAGAAGAGATATTTAGCATTTTCTTAATCATGGTTACTGAAGATACATGTAGGTTCATTGGACGCCTCATCCACACCTTAATTACTCAAAAACATAAAGTAAGTGACGCGGAAAATTGTGTTTCAGTCAAGCAGTGAGGTTTTGTATGTATTTTATGAGATTCACATACCATTTCATCATTGGAGGTGGGGTGAGAGGAAAAAAAAAACAAATATCATAAGCTATGAGTCTACAGCTCTGAGACGTGCGTAACACAGTCTCGTGCTTTGATTAATTAATAAGAAAATCATGCAATAATCTAATTTGTTGTTACTTGTCTCAATCATCAACGTACCTACAATGTAAACGAGTAGATCCATTACAGTTTTGGATTCTGGACAAAATGTAGAACTTTCAAAAAAATAAAAAATGATGAGCCAGGATGGATTTAACACCTCGCCTAGCCTGTTATAATCAGCTGCTAGTTATAATGCACTTGGAAGATCGATTGTTGAATGATAAATTGTTAGATTGCAGATAGAGTATTATTAAACAATTGATAAACAGTATGTAAAAAAGACATCACATATGTGTGCCTCAAATATTTGAAATCTACTAGTATTTTACCACGCAAACAACAAATGTAATATTGGTTGTACGAGAATATGTGGCTCAAATATTTGTAACTTAGTATTTCACACAAAGAACAAACGTAATGTTGTCGCAGTGTAATACTAGCTCTCTCTGTCCCAAAAGATAGTCCACATTTAGTTTTCAATTTTGTAATAAAATAATACAAATCTCAAAATTCAACGTGGACTTTTTTATTGGGAGAGAAGGAGTAGTAATAAAAGTATAAAAAAATGCGCATCAACAAGTTTTGTGAGTATCAATGACACATGACATGCATCATGTGGTCAACAATGTTTTCTTTGGTTAAGATGAGTTTTAGATTTGTGTAATTTGATAAAATCTCAAATAGGGATTTTATAAGTGACTGACATTTATTACTCAATCAATTCATAAGTATGTGGCCAAGCTTTGACCTTTAAAAGAGAAAATACAGTTAGATGCACTTAAATGGATTCTGTTCTTTATTGAAGCGACAATGAAAACTCCCATTATAAAAGCACCACCACTAAAAGCGAAAATAACTTGCAATATCTCAAATTTTATTTCTAAAAAGTTCCATAAGAAAGATATGAAGCAGCTCTTCGTTCTTTTCACCATATTTGTTGCTGTTCTATTTATCATAGGTACACCTTTATCCCTCATTTGAAATGCACGTAATTACTTATGATATTGGTGTTATTTCAAGTATTAGATGGAAATAATAGAAATGTAAAAACCCTTTTGTGTTGGTCCTCTAAAACTAAATTAATTACAATTGTTTGGCAACTTAATTAATATGATCTTTTGTGGCAGTTGAATCTAATTCAGAGCAACATAGTTGCGCTGTTGGATTGGGCGGCAATAGGACTGGCTGTCCAGATGTGAAGAAATGTGAAAGCAAGTTTGATGAGTGCAAAAAGTATATTGATAAAGAATATAGTTGTCAGTGCCATAATTATAAACAATATCATACTTGTCAATGTAATGTACTGTTGAAGAGCGGCTATGACTGTGGCACTCTACTTAAATGCGCGAGACACAAACACAAGGAAGAAATGTATACTATCAGCCAGAAAGTGAAAAACTAAACTATATAAAAATATATACATGCCTTCTTGATTTAGCTCTTTTGCTAACAATGTTTCAAACTAGATTTTCAATTTTGTTATCCATTTCGATCTTATTTTGTTTTATGTTTTTGAGATGTAACTATGAAAGCACTTGACCTGAAATTACATCTTAATTAGCTTGAAAACTTACCAATTAAACTACTTAATTATATACTCTTTATAAATATGTGTGGTTTGTTTGATGTTGAGGAAGAAAATGTAAAACACAATTAGCATCCATATAAGTAACACTGTAAATGAGAAATTCATCATTATTCAATTCAATAGTTAAAGGAATCGCACGATCGATCAAAATAGGGTCTTTTAGTGCTTTTTAAAAATTTTTTATTATTCCTGGTTAGAACGTATTCACAAAGGCTTTGAATCATCCACATGATCATTCTACTCAAGCCTCCAAGTCTCTAACCTATGTTGTATTAATTTTTTTTTTTTTTTTTTGGGAAAATGTTGACAATTGCTGCATGTCAGTTACAAATAAAACTGATTATTGTAAGGTATACATTTTAGAGATTGTAATAACATCCATTCTTTATTTATGAGAATAATATTACAATTTTAAAATTTGAAATTGGATAAAATTCTTTTTTTTTTTTTTTTTTTGTTGAGGGGATTCTGTCGTTCTGAAACTATTTTGGAACCGGATATTCAAATGCTTCAAAATTGGGAACGAAGTTCCCTTAATTAATGTGGAGGAAGAAGGAACAATATAGGGCCTTCAATCAGGAAAACGAATCCAATCGTTTGACCCTACTGAATAACGATCGCACATTTAAATTGGTCCTCTAGGATTGATGATGATTTCGATCGGAACCGTAGTTATTAAATTTCTTTTGGTTTTAAGAAAAGTTGTAAGTTCACTCCTTACTGATCGTTAAAGTTTCATTACGTATTTATTTTACATTGGACAAATCAAATAATCTTCAAAAACTTCAAAAACGAAGAATAGATATTTAGCATTTTCTTAATCATGGTTACTAAAGATACACGGAGGATTAGGAGTCTCTTCTACACCTTAATTACTCAAACACATAGTATAATAGTAAGTAACCTGGAAGTGTGTTTTAGTCTAGTAGTGAAGTTTTTATATGGATTTTTATGAGATTCAGATCCCTCGTAATTGGAGGTAGAATGAAGGAGAAAATAAAATAATTTTAAGGTAGTATGAGTGTAGGGAGGGATATGATTTATTTTTTTTTGAAATAAACTTATATTGCAATAAAGAGTTACAAAGAGATGTCGCGGGCTAGACTAATTCTAGCCATCCTATGCGGAATTTCCACAATATCCCTTCTTACTTTTTGGATAGACCTACTGTTCAGGGCAAATTAATCTCTGGATGTCTTTTCCTAATTTTATGAGTGGCTGAGGAAGGCTGTGATTTGGATCTGCTAAATTGGTATTATCTGTTTGTACTACAAACTCATCTAATCCCAGTTGTAGCACGGATTGAATGCCCCGTAGACATGCCATGGTCTCTGTGTGAAGAGCAGAAAAAGCTTGCATTCGAGTTGCATTAGACACTATTGGCTCCCTTGATGCTGAGGAGCAGAAAAAGCTTGCATTCGAGTTGCATTAGACACTATTAGCTCCCTTGATGCTGAGGAAACTTCCCATTCTGCTGCACCTAACCTTCTTTTCTCAATATATGCCCCATCGATTCTTATTATTGCCGCTGTATCCGGAAGTTGTTGTGGACTCCTGATGTTATAAAGGGAGAGCGCTTGATCCTTGTCTTTCGAAGATCCTGTGCATCTTGTTGTAATACTACAGAAGTACCTTAACTCCTCCATGGCCCATTTTTGTACTTGGTATGGGTCTTTGAGTTGATTTTCCCATACAACCTTATTCCTTGTCAACCAGATTGCCAAGATCAGGTAGAAGGAAATTTGCAGCTGGTCATCATCTGGTGCTGCAATGATCCAATCATTCAGCCATTCGTGGAAACTGACCTTCTGGCCAGAGTCAAAAAATTCTAACGAAAGGTTGAAACTACTCTGAGATGATTGCCAAAAAGTCCACTCCAATACCACATTCAACATTCATCCCTCCCAGATTCACACAAACATCCATGTCGATTCAACAAGAAAGGATGAAAAATTGAATCTGAGATTCAAACATCCGAAAATACTAATCTGAAAATTAAAAAAATAATTTCAGAAAGCCCACAAACAAATCCAACAATTCTAAGATTCCTCAACCTCCAAAAATTCAGATTCAAAGAGGAGGGAGTTCGAGAGAGTGAAGGACCCCGTCAACCTTTGGACTCCGATTTGCTCCTCCTTCTCTACTTTCTTCCTCATTTTCACGGCATCGTTTCTCCTCTCCTTCTTTTCTTCTGGTCTCAACTCCGGCGCTGGCACGTGGCAGCGAATAACATTGAAAAAGAGCCTGATTGTAGGTTAATTCCTCTCCAACCGTGGTCTTTTTTGGGCGAGTGATGACGGCAGAGGAACGATCAAGAATTGGAGATGGTGAATGGAGAATGGAGATGAGGGGATTGATGGATTGTGGAACTGAGTGTGGGTGGTGTCGGCGGGGTGGCTAGCTACCAAGTACGAAGAAAGAAGAAAAATATGATGAGGTGAGAAGTGGAATTTGTTGAGTATCCCACATCGGTGGTTGGAGAGAGTTGATATCAAAATATAAGTATATGGGCTACTCCTGTCATTGCCAATTGGTTTTGAGGTGGAACCCCATGGGCTTATATAGAATTAGAGAATTTTCTAGGGTTAGTAATAATTTATCTATTTATTTACATATATAATATAATATATTTAAAAATATGAATAGTTTGGGTTTTCGGGCGGTGCCCGAAATAATTTTATTCGGCCCGCACCCGCACCGAATTAACTATGCTGTTAATCGGGTAAACTCGCAATTTTCTCAATTAACCGAATAACCGACCCGTTTCACCCGAACCGGGTTTGGTACGGGCGGATTTTCGGGTTCACCCGATTAACTGACAGCCCTAAAAAATAGAAGGCTACCTATGAGATGCTAAGCCGTTGGATGTATGACCAATTGGGTTGTAAAAGTCGTTCTGTATATGATTGATAACTCAAAACGTACGTAAGGCAATCTCATGGTTTGACTTGTAATTAATTCATAATAAAATTATGAAACAATTTTAAATTTTTTGGACTACTTGTCTAGTTCACCAATATGCCTACAATGTGAACGAGCGGATTAATTATTATTGATGTTGGTGGATATTATGTAAAAATTCCAAAAAAGAAAAAAGGAAATGATGGCTTGGTTGGATTTAACACTTCTCCCAGCCTCTTAATATCATGAAAACAAATGATAGGCTATAATCAGATACTAGTTATAACCAATGTTGTCAGACTCGGATCGGACTGTTCAATTCGACCGGTTAACCGCGAATCGGACTCTAAGTCGGTTCGATCATAACGAAACCCAGAATAAGAGATAATCGGTCAAAGCCGGTCAACAGCTACGGTCAAACCGTGAACCAGTTAAACCGGGTTTTCCATTTTTACATTTTCTTTTTCATTAAAAAAAGCGCGTGCTATTTTTTTTTTTCTTTCGTTTCTCCCCCAGTTTTCTTCTTCCTGTCCCATGCCCAGCAAAGCCACTACCCCATTAACATTTATTTGTAAACTTAAAATTAAAGTAATTTTATTATTTAATTTAAGAAAATTTTGATGAGACTATACTTTTTAGAATTTTGTTGGAAAAAATCTATATTTTTTAAACTTAATTTATTAAAGATAATTAAGTTCATTATATTTTTAACACTTCAAATATTCAACTTATTTTTTTTACTTTATAATTATATTATTATTGACGTATTTAATTATTTACAATATATATATATATATATATTTGATATCTGGATGACATCATCTGGTTTTATGTTACAGGCTAAAGGGGTTGACCCAGTGACCCCTAACTGTCACCGGTCCGTTTTAAAATCCGGGTCTAACACCATTGGTTATAATGCACTTGGAAGATTGATTGTTAAATTATATAGAGTATTACTAAACAATTTATGAACGTCATGCAACAAAGACATCACATATTGGATGTACGAGAATATTGTGTGCCTCAAATATTTGTAATCAAGTGCAGTATGTATATTAGCTACCACACAAATAACACATTTAATGTTGCGATTGTGTTAGTAATAAATGTAAGCATCCATAATTTATGTGGTTTGCTGAATCTTGATATAATGAGTGAGCATCAAGTGGTCAACAACGTTTTGCCAAAAGATCTCCAATGTTTTAATCTATTTTGGTATATTATGCACCAGTCTCCGAAGATTTCCAATGTTTCCTTTGATTAAGATGAACTTTAGATTTGTGTAATATGATAACATCTCAAATAGAGATTTCACAAGTGACTGTCAATTATTACTCAATTCATAGTATCAGAAAAATGTGTTTACTGCTGATACCAAACTTTCATTTTTAAAAGAGAAAAAAGAGAAAAGACAGAACGCACTTTAATGTATTCTAGTCTTTGACAAAGCGACAATCAAAACTTCCATTTTTATAAAACCACCAGTAAAATCGCAAAAGTAACTCGCAATATCTCTCACTTGCTTTCTAAAAAGTTTCATTAGAGAAATATGAAGCAACTCTTTGTTCTTTTCATCATATTTGTTGCTCTTCTTTGTATCACAGGTATGCACGTAATTACTTATGATATTGTTTTGTCATTTCCAATATGAGACGAAACTAATAAAATTGGAAAAACCCATTTGCTTTCATCCTGTAAATTAACTTAATTACAAATTTTTGACAACTTAATTAATATGATCTTTTGTTGCAGTTAAATCTAATGTGGAGAAAACTGGTTGCTATATTGAAATGGGCGGCACCGCCAATAGGACAGGCTGTCCGGATGTGAAGAAATGTGAAAGCAAGTTTGATGAGTGTAAAAAGTATTTTGATGGAGAATTAAGTTGTGAGTGCATTAAGTATAAAACATATGATAATTGTCGTTGTAGTGCAATGATTAAGGGCGGCCATCACTGTAGTATTCTGCTTGAATGCGTGAAACGCAAAGCGACGGAAGATATGTATGTTTACGCCGAGATAAAGTAAAATGTTAAACTATATATACATGCTTCTTGATAAAGTGTTTTGGCAAACAATATTGCAGACTGTTAATTTGATTTCCCTTGGTATCTTATTTGTTCCACGTTTTGAGACGAAACTATGAAAGCAATTAACCTGAAGTTACAACATTAATTAATTAGTGTGAAATAGTGATTATTCTTTGTTTGTAAATATGAATTATCTCATAAATCTTATATTGTATAAACCTTAAAAAATGCATGTCTTACATAGTCATTACGTGATCACCATTAATTAATTAGAGCAATGATACAGATAGTGAAAAATTGTAGTGAATTTAGTTAGTGACAAATGAAAAGACAAATACACTATACACTTACTAAACATGTCTAGTTATTAATTAATGGTAAAAATATATTCGGGAAAAAAAATAAAACTTCATTGGGAAAGTGGCAAAAAAGTAGGGGCCACGATTAATCCACATCAGTCACTATGTTTTGTCACTATTTTTATTCACTATATATATATATCATTTTCCAATTAATTATTACTTGTTTTCTTAAATTATGATCCAGAATTTCATCTTTGATGTAATTGTTTTGTATACGGTATAAGTAATGAGCTCCTAATTCACTTCATGACTGAAATGTGTGTGTGTGTGTGTGTGTTTTTTTTTTTTTTTGTACAGGGTCTTGATTGAGCTGAGAAAACTCAGAGGAGCATTTGAGGCCATTTCATGAAATCTCTTAGGTTTGACAGTTAGCGTTTAATTGTAAATGCAGAATATATATATGTATATATATATATATATATATATATATATATTGTTTTTTCGCAAATGCAGAACCTGATTTTAGCACAGGCTATTGATATGTTATTTGCATAAAATTTTACAGAAGAAGCAGCCTTTTTATATTTCTTATATGTAAAATTTTCTTATATTTAATTTTTAATTTTACCCACATTTAAGTGGAGTCCACTGAAGTGGATTTTTTTATTGCAAAAAAGAGTAAAATTTTAAGATTGACCCTAAATCATCTAAATGTTACTTTTATACTTAAAAGTTATTGATAATATGATTTACTACCAATATTAATAATCTGTCATTATTGAAAATTACCTTCTGTATTATAATTATATTTGTTTTATGAAGGTATGAACGTATTTCTATGTGAAAATTGCGTATGTGAAATGAGACTTTTAAATTATTATTAAAAAAGATGTTGATAGTGCTTATAAATAATACTAATAACAGTAATTATTGAAGACCATATAACAAGAAGCATTTTGAGGTGGATGCTGACATAATTGGAGCTACAATGCTAGGGAGAAGTAGTAGTAGTAGTACTCCAACGTGTGCATGGTGTAGTGCAGGGCAACCTAATTAACCAAGGCAACTCAAAAAGGAGTTACCTTGGTGTTGCCACATATTGTCTGGACGGGGTCACACGTTCGTGAAGGGATTGGTGGGTGACATTGTGATTCGCCATCAATTGTTGATCTGGGAAGGGCCGGCGATCACACAGGATCACCATGTCAATGATGACAAGGTCGCCACAGCTTCTGGTCACACAAGCTGCATACTAGCTGGCACAAGTGGTGCAGCAGCCCATTGCAGTTTTAGAGGACAATTTGTACTAGATTGATTTCGTCTCTCAATTTTCAGTACGTACTACTGGATGGATATGCCACCTTTATATAGGACCACTGGCTGCAGGCTATAGCTACGTGAAACGCAACTTAAACTTGCCTCATTCACCAATTAATCCAAAGTTAGTTCCTATCCTCAGAAGCTAATGTTAATAAATGACAACGTTTCAAGACGTTAGAGCGTGCATGCGAACACATTAATTTCTTTCATTCACGGTTTTATCTTGTTTCTTTATATTTTAGTGCTTGCTTGTAAATATTTTTTGTCCCTAAGTCACTAATATTTTCTTTTTCCTTCACGTTACAACCTTTTCAATATTTGTTCATCCCTTTGTGTTAGATTTGCTAGCTACGATTTCCTTTTCTTTATTTCCATTTTTTTCCCCTCCTCCTCTTCCTCCTCCTTCTTCTTCTTCTAGATTGATATACTATTTTCACAACTTAGGAATACATCCAATAGCGTAGTCAGAAATATTTTTCAGTAGGGGCACGAGAATGACATATGTTAATTAATCAATTTTGTTCAGTTTTATAAATATACATATACACGCTATTTTCATGTGTTTTATACAGTTTTAAATGTTTTTCCCGCGATTTACACGTGAATTGCGCATGTCTAATGTCACTTGTAAATATTTAGGTACAAATTAAGATGATATATTATGAACAAATAAATAAATATATTTGTTAGTAATGATATTCTATTTATTTAAAAAATAATGACATAGTAACATAAAATAAACTATACATTTGTCTTGGCTTTCTAAACATTTCATGTATACTATAGTGGTTTGTCTCCATTCCAATGTCATATATACTATATATTTTAAGGTTTCCATGCCATTACATTGATCCTCTAGGATTGATGATATTTTGGAACCTTATAGTTATAATATAATATATATATTAAAAGTCTCTTTTTGTTTTGAAAAGTAGTAAGTTGATCATTACTTTGATCTTAAGGTTCTATTACGTTTATTTTTCATCGGAGGGATCAAATATTCTTTTCAAACTTTGATAACGAAGAACTTATA